GTAATTAATAGAGGTAGTTTAAAAAATTAAAATAACAAATATACGAGACAAAGTAAACAGAGCATTCACTAGAAGGAGTGTAGTTTTTTTAATGGACCAAGCTAGTGAATATTGCAAGGCTTTTTAGTCAGTAATATATTACTCAATTATGACACTTTTTCATAAAATTATGATATATCTTGTTTGCTTTGCTATTTTTTTTTTCTGGCTTCATGTCTGCTATATATATATTTTGTGAGAGAGAGAGAGAGAGAGCATGAATGAGTTAGAAGTGGAAGGCGTGCTAGATGAATAGGGAACATACAATTAATTAAGTAGAATAATGAAATATATAAATTGTTTTTAAACCATGTGTATAAGAGAGTCGATGTATTAATTAATATTCCTATGAACAGAAAAAATAATAAAGCAGCACAATAAAGTGTTTAAGCACGTTGCAAAGCCGTTGCATTGCTAATAAATTATATCCAAAGCTGGATATTTTTTTCTTTTGGTCCATATTAGAGCATACACACTAAGTTTTGTTGGCTTTGCTTTTCTGCCAAGCAGCGTATCGATCATTAACATTATTATTTAATTCTAAGATTTTGTACAAGATAGATTTGCGCCTTCTTCTGCCATATAGCTTTATGATCCAATACAGATATTTAACCAATTATACACTAATTATTAGTAATTATTTTGTAATACTACCTCCAATCCTTGATATAAGATCTTGTTTGACTTTTATTTTGGTCTTAAATATAAGACTCCAATCCATTTTATCTTTCGTATTTATTTATTTTTTCCAAAGATATTCCTTCTAATAATCGTAGTTCTAACTAATAAATTTAATTAGCAAAGATATTTTAGTAAAGACAATACTTACTTATTACAAATAACTAACTTAACTTATTTTCTTAATCTACTCAAATTAGTCAATTAGCTTTTATATTTAGAATTGGAGGTATTAGTACATAAAACTTAATCAAGATATGAAATGATGAGACTCTAGCTAGCTCACTAACCTCAAAGTTAAAACATGACCTAAAGTGATAAATTATAAAGAGAGTAAACATATAGCTAATTTAAAAGAACCCTTTTACCATATGATTCATCGTCAAGCATTGATCTGAAAAATTTAATCTACCTGCCACACACACAGTCTCGATCTGTCTTCTTTTTCTATTTTCTTTGTTGCTCCTTTAATTCCTTTTTTTTTTTTCCTTTGCCATCCAAACTCACTTTTTCTTTACTGTTTTCCTTTGTTCCCCTTATTTAGTGCCCCTTTCCTTAAAATATCATTTTTCATTTGGCTAAAGATACTCTCTCTACTTTAATAATTACAACACAAAATCTTTGACTGTTATATGATCTTTAATTTAATACTGTTGTACTGACAAATAAATAACTGACTAATCTGTTAGTGTTTCTCTCAGAGTTTGAGAATTTTATAAAACAAATGTGGTTGTAAAACACTAATAATGAGCTGTTTAACTATCTTTAGAAAAAGATTATCCCCTTCAAGACACATGTAATCTGTTAATTAGAAAGGATTAAGTTACCTGGTGGGATAGCTAGGAATAATTTGTTTTGGGATTGATAAATCTAAATCGATAATACTTTGAGTAACATGGTTTATAACCTTTTAATCTATCGGTGTTAACTATAAGAGTTATATCACATAAGGTTTATTTTAATTCTAAATATAAGATTTTAATTCGCTTCATTTCTTAAATTTACAACTATTTTCAAATATATCTAATATTACAAATAATTAATTTAACTAATCTTTTATGTTAAAAACTATTTTTTTAAGACGAAAAGGAGGTTTAATTAATAAGATAATATTCTCCAAACCCTCTCTGAGTTACTGCCTAGTATCTAAATAGATTTCTTTGAATCTGTGGCTGTTTTTCATAGACAAAATGGAGAAAAGGGTTTTGTTTTGTGGAAGTCTTTTGCCAAAAGATTTTTCTTTAATTACGTATCTTTATTTTGAAACAATATAATTCCCTAACATTACCTTTGAGAAATTATGGAGAGGAACAGCTTTTGATGATTTTGGAAAAGAGATTCCAAGACTGATCCATTTGAACAATGAAATAGTGCAAAATGCACACTATGTAATCATTCAGAACCAGTTATTAGCATGAATCTCTTCATAATTTCAATATTATATATTCTAGCTTTATCACTCACATGAGGTAGATTTACTTTTAATTACTTAATGAACAAAGTAAACAACTAATTACTTAGCTTATAGATATTGTAAGCTTATTTATAATATGCACAAGTCTCTAAACACAAGTTATAGTCTTTTAATTAAATAATATACTCCTCTGGTCCTTAATATATGACTCAATTGTTGAGTTGGTTTTGGTCCTAAATATAAGACCAATTTCTCATATTTATCAATTTTATCTAAATTGCCCCTATAGATACTCCCTCAACCATAATAAAGTAGAAGAGAGAGGGGGTATTAAGAAAGATGATTATGGTATTTTAGGAAAAATGTGTCATATTTCTTATAATTAACTAACTTACCTAACTTTCTTAATCTAATCAAACTAGTTAAATAAGTCTTATATTAAGGATCGGAAGAGTAACATATTTGTCACATATGAGCGAGTAACTCATTTAGTCAAGAGACAAAAATAGATTTTGATATCCTTTATTTTTAGCAAAAATACAAAACCTCTGACATAAGTTTTGTTAAAATTACACAAATATTACTTCTATTTTCGAAGTATACATATATGAATAATCATTCCTTCAAGTTGACTCTTTGTTGGATTGTTTTGAATAACCGAACGCCAATATGACATCCCTTTGTACATATTTAGTTCCCATACATAAGAGATATTAAAAAAAAATCAATTAAATTGTTAGTTGTAACAAAATGTGTTGATTTTCTGAATCTATCCTATTTAATTATCTACATTATAACTTTTTTAGATAAAATATTATAGATTTGGGAGACAGAGTTGATTGAGATTTTATATTTATAATTAAACCCAACTCTCAACTAGCTCTTATATTAAGAATTGAAAATAATATATATAAATACTATCTCCTGTTCTTAATATAAGAGTTAATTAGAAATTCAATTTAATCCTAGATATAAGATTCCAATTCAATTTGTCTCAAATATTTATTAATTTTGTCCTTAAGTAATCTTTATGGTAATTGCAAATGTTAGAGTTACTATCCAGGGGTAATTTAAATGCACATAGACTATTTTAGAAAAGATAACATATATCTATTACAAATAATTAAATTAATTAATTTTCTTAATATTTGCAAATTATTTATTTATCTCTTATATAAAGGAACATAGGTGAGGTAGTATAATTGAACTGAGGTAAAGGAGACCAAGAGGATGAGATTCCCCAAAATTGTCTTACCTGCCACTTTGTTTTCCTATCAACAAAAGACAAACTGATCCCACATTATTCTTGTTTAATTTCTTCATTCCATAAGTGATTATTCGTGTGGCTTCATGTGCACCTGCCTCCTCATTTGCCTTCCTCTCTACCATATGCATAGCATAATGCTTCTCTGTTTTCTAGAATTCCATCCTTTTTGAAGTGGACGATCCACTCCAATAACATCAAGAATATAATATACTCCTGCTTATAACTAATGAATGCATGCTCAGTTGATATTGTGCTAACTAAATCAATAGTTTAAGCTTTAGATGATGTGCATACTCACGTTAAAGTGAAGTTGAAAACTTGGGAGGAACAAGTTAAAGAACCAGAGGCACACATAGGTCCCGTTAGGTACGAAGCACTGAAAATGAGAGATAAAGACTAGGATTGCAATTAAAAAAATAATAAAAAAAGTCTTTAATATGAGTAATTACTTATTATATAGGATTAGACAAACCCATAAAAGTGGAATTAGGGAATGCCACATCCTCCCATGATATTTCCCAATGCCATATATATATATATATATATATAGGTTTATCTAATCTCATGTAATAAGCAATCTTTTATGCTCAATATTATTTTCTCAATCTCAATTCTAATCCCTATCCCTTATTTTCAATGCATCGTACCAAACGCTACAAAATGAGAATAAGTATGGGGGCTTCCTCATCACTCTCAAAAACTCCCATGAGCACTTGGAGATGTGATCCAATGTACTCATACTTGTCATTAATTAATAGGGATTAGATCCTCCAACCTCGTCAACAAGAGAGGAGGCGCGGTGATACTATTTGAGTTAAGGCTCATTAATGTGATTTAATTTAAACAGTTCAAATTTTATTTTTTTTAAAATTATTTTAATATTGTATATAATTAAAATAAAGATAACATCTTCATTGTCAATTTTCTAAAAATGATTTTTGGTTTTTATGTTGTTTTTTGGTTGGGGATAAATCCCTTATTAGAAAATTAATTGGCAACTAATCCATAGGATGATGGGTTGCACAGAGAAAGATAAATTGCATATAAATGAAGTTGAGTTGCACATAGGAAAGATGGTTTGCACAAAATATTATTCAAATACAAGAGGCTAATTTGCGTATAAAGATAATAACTTGCACAAAAAGAAAAATAAATTGCTCACAAGGAATATCCAATTGCATAGAGGGAAGATGTGATGACAAGAAAATATAATTGCACACAAGGGAAGATGCATAAATTGCACATGAATGAAGTTAAATTACACATTGAAAAAGTTTAATTGCACAAAACCACTAGGTGCCATTTATCAAATAAATTTTCAATGAGGGATTTATCCCAAGTTTTCCTTGTTTTTTTTTCTCATAAACCATTTTTTATGTTATTGTTATAATTATATTATTATATATAATTTATTTAATATTTAATTATAATTAATTTCATTGTTATGTACAATTCATAAATATTAATGAATATATTTATTTAAATATCTGAACTTGTACTAAAACTTTGCCCCCAATAGTTAATTTTTTTTGGCATCCCGACCAAAATCATTATAAAAATTTTAAACCTTTTTTGTTTTTCGGCCAAAAAGCGACTTGGAGAAAAGGAGGCGGTGGGAGGAGGTGAAGAGGTTGAGTGAGAGATGTCGATCCTGTGGGAGAAGAGCGCGAGTTGGAGATGGCTTGTGCGGAGGACCAGAGATTCCAAGCCCTTCTTCCTTGCTTTCGCCACCGTATGCGGCGTCGTTCCGGGAGTCATTGGCTATGGCGTCATGCAGCTCACCAACACCCGCAACGAACAGCTTGAGGCCCATCTTCGCAAAAATGCTCGCCCCGAAACCACGGTACCTCTTCACCCTTTTTCCTTATTATTGTTTCCCGAGAAATCATGGTTAATCTGTGGGTTGTTATCCTTAATTTGTGATTTGTGATTCTGTAATTTGATGATCCGATGGGTGAGATTTTTTATGGGAAAGATGTGCTGAACTTGTGGGCACTTTAGTGTTACGAATTTGGATATAATTCATCTTTTCCATTATTTAGCTCTGTTTAGGTTCCATAGTTAGTTTTTGTAGAGGTTAGTTAATTCTGCTGCGGCTGGAGCTTAGGGGTGCTTTGATGTATTAGCTTTCTATCAGAAATCTTGTGCGGTTACCTGAAGGAGACTGAAATACACAGTGGGAAGCTTGCTTTATCGGGGAAAAATGAGCTTCTTGAACTCTAACCATACGAATGTTCTATTTTAGAATTGGCAGATGTATCAATCATGTCATACCTTAGGTTCTCTTTGAAAATAAGACCGTAAGAAACTTGCCCATGTGAGTACTCTGCGAAATGTAAGTTGTCTTCGGGAACGGTCTGATATAAGTTATAACTCCACCATCAATGAACGGTACCCTGATATAAGTTATAACCTCAAACATCAACTGGCTTAGTCTCTAGCAGTATGGGCCTCACGAAGTGCTGGTGCTTAGGATTCGATCTTGGTATGAAACTTGTTGCTTATCTTGGTATTTTGGGGTGTTTGATTTGATATGGTTGCACGGGCTTAGGTGATATTAGTATAAGAATACCTGACTATAATAAGCTTCTACAGTCCTTTGTCTGCCCCAAATCCCATTTAATAGATAGTATTAGCTTATGATATTGCGTTCGACTTTAAATACACCAAATTAGGCCTCAAATTCATTTTTCTTAAACAGAGCAGAGTAAGGCAAAATCAACTTTTGTGATTGATTTATCTTCTTTTATTCAGATTGTCCGGATAAAACACTGGATATTTTCAACTGCAATCTTTAGGATAAAGTAATCATGTACCTCAACTTCTGTAATTCCCCTCATGAATGGAGGCTGAATCAATAATCAATCACGAGTACAAGGAGAAACCAATAGCATCCTATGGCAACCTTTCTACATCCGTCACCTTCCACAAGAAGGTGGGGATTGATCAAAGGTCTGCTTGGTGTAATTTTTGACTTTTACATGACAAATCTCCCAATCTTTCAACATATCGGAATTTCTCCAGTTGATCAAAGGTTCCCCATAATATCACATTGCTATCACTACGAATCTGATGACCATTTCGTGTCCTTGTTCTGAAATACTTCTTTTTCCTCTGTAGATCTCTGGATATTGTATAACTACATTGATAGCCCATCATATAGGATTTGGATTGTCTTAGAAGATAAATCTATCTAGAGATTAAATAGCTTTTTGTCTGTTTGAAGGGATGTTAACTTAATGAGCTGAGTAGTTGCTAACGTATGTTCTGGGACTTTTTTTTTTGGTCGAAATGAATTCTTTCCTCTGCTGAAAAATCAAATCTTGACGATATGGTTGCTTTTCATTAATTAGATGATGGGACAAGTAAATAAAGAAAGGCTGGCTGAATTCCTTGGAGAGCTACAGCGGAAGGAGGATACAAATGACCGGTATGTTGCTGCTCTGAAAGGTGAGACTTTAACCAGAAACCCGTATCAGAGAATTCAACCTATTCCTAAGCAAAATGACAGTGGCGTTGACAAGGAGCAGAAGAAATAAAGTCTGATAGTCATTTGGTGTGAATACGTATGAGGTATCTGTATGTCAAGATCTCACTAGTGTTTAGGAGCTCGGTATGAAATTGATGCTATTAGTCTTTGCATTTTGATTTTGATGTGGTTTTATTCCATACAGAAGGGGATCTTTGTGAGTTTGCATGATTATATGCAGACAGGACTTTTCCTTGTCTAGATTTCGTGCGCGTTCTTCCGTGGAATTTAAAGTTCTCCTCGGCTATGGGATATTTTGAGGTTTAATCAATCTCAACACAGGTTGTTTCCTTTTGCAGTGAGTTGGAATAAAGCACAATTCCTCCAGGTTTTATCATCTTCATGAAACAATTCGCCCACTTTATTGTTTTGGAAATTCACACTTGACTCGAGTTGTCAAAATTAACTCTATTATCTTTTCCCTTCCTACAAAGACATGGTTGCACTAACATTTCCATATCTGAAACAATCCTCTTAACCGTACCTTTCTGAAACTATTTCCTTCATTGACTCAGCTTATTAACATACATGGTCTCCGTGTTCTGAAAAAGAGGTGTGGGATGAGACCATGGGATTGTCAAATGGAGCAGAAGAGCTAAAGGAGCAATGCGGCAGTTCATTTCCGTGCTTCCCAAATTCTATACCCTTAAAATGTTAATTTGTCAGTAAAATCCACGCATCAGGGAGACGTGTTTCTGGTATTTATTTTCACGGTAAAAAAGATATAATGAAAAGACCATACGGCTGTTTGTGCCCCCCCCCCTCTTTTGACCTGAAATAAGGTCGTTTGTGTTAGAGATGCAAATACTAATAATTTCCCAAACTCTTTTTATCCTTGTAATAGTCTGAGGTATCCAAATTAACTGATTTTTGCAGTTGAGATGCTAGTACAATGTTGTGAGACACTCAAATGAAACGATCAAAGCAACCATCATAACCAGACTTGTTACCCTACCCGTCCCCGGTTTGACATGTATGAACACTCACAACATCCATTACAATACATACATTTTCCTTTGGGATCATCCAAAGTCTTCAAGACGCTATTGGTTGTAGACATATGAGGAGAAGAAATAAAGTCGCATGGGGCTATTACATTAGGGATGGTTTTTCACAGCTAAAATAAGTCTTACTAGGTTTCATTCTTTCTGATTCCATTATTTACAATTATCATCTCTTGGCTTGTATCCTTCTGATCCGAACTAAAAACACAGTCCATCCACATTGCGTCATCTTCAAAGCACACTCGGAAGAAAACTGCTGATACAATAGTGATATATAAGGAGAATGAATAGCAAAATAAGTAGAGTGAATGAGAAAAATAGGTTTGGTTTGAACATAAACATACCCCTGTCATCCAGGATACAGTTTGATGCGACAGGTTATCTCCACCCGACATATAGGACACGTGTCCAGCATTGTCCCACATTCTTCACAAGTCTGCATCAGAATTATATATAACTCATCATTCTCATTACGCAGAGAGAAAAAGCAATGAAACCATTCCGGTAGAATTATTTACCATGTGTCCACATCCAAAGGCCATGTCCTTTTCATTGGTCAGACAAATTACACACTCCTGCACATCATTGCAAATGCAGTTTTTCTTCAAGTTTAGCATTGTTACACATACAAGAAATACTGCCATGCAGTTTATCATTTGATTAATCTTTGAAGAAACTCACTCACATTACATGATAATGCCCTCAGAAAAAGAATAAAGAAATCTGCCCCGCCAAAATAACTACTACAATATTTATGAACATAAAGATCCATGCAAATCATTCCTAGCAACCATTTTAATCAACAGTTGCATATTGCATCAAACATAACTTAAGCAAAGTTCTTTAAATGTTTGCTATCAAGTTTTTCAATACAAATATAGCATGTACAAGAACCTTAAGGTAGAAACTTCAAAAAAGCTTCAAAATTACATCTAAATTCTGTTCACTGGCACGTTGAATTTCATCATTTCATCCTTGTTCAAAAGTTGTAAATGTTAAACACAAGTTGCATGAGTTGCCTCAAACCAATCAGAAAGACGCTTCTCTCAACTTTCAATTAAGAAGCAAGAAACTTATAAATAAGCAATGCCCGCACATAGAGGGGAAAGAAATAATACACATTAGAAGCAAAATATTCATAATCATCTGAAGATTTGATTTCCTTCTCAAGAAGTGTCTCGCCTGACGAGTAGATTAGGATAAGAAGTGAAGTTATTAGGGAGATTCACTATCTAAAATTTATGCATATTAACCTGATCATGAATAAACACGTAAGCATGACACGTGGATTTCATTGACTTAACTGGCATACTTATATGATGATGGATGATCAGTTTAGTCTTTGTAAAAAGGATCTGTTTAACAATTTTTTTTTTTAAAAAAAATTTAAATACCTGGGCAGCAGCAGAACTCGATGGTGCAGCAGTGGCAGCATTAAGGGCATCAGCTAACTCTAGTTCTTTTTCTTCAACCTGTCTCTTCGCACTTTCTCTAGTCTCCTGACACTCCAGCTTTAGCAACTGTATCAGCTCAAGCTTTTCTTGCAAATCTTTCTTGGCTTTAATCCATTCGTTCTAAACATAAAATGTTACAAATCAATGGTCACTGAGATCCTTCAATCCATCCTAAAATATTCTTTATGTGCACATAATATATTATTATAACTGCTTTATCAATACTAAAAATCATCAGGTGAGGCGGCAAGTCTGGAAGCCAAATATGAGGAAACCTTAATCTTGACTTTCAAGGACAGCACAAAAACAAAAATCTATTATCATCCAGCCAGGTCAGTGATAATATTTTCACCATTTAGAGTTATAAATTCAAAATTAATGAGTTGTGTGTGCCTGTGTTTTATTTATTTATTTTTTTTGGGGGGGGGTGTTTGAGGAACCAAAGTTGTCGTCACCTTAGCAAGGTCAGCATCGTTTTGAGCATGCTCGGCTTCTCTTAGAGCATTCTCTAATATTTGTCTTGCCTCCTGAATTTCCAACTTTAGCAGTTCGATAAGTTCTTCCTTTTCCTTCAACTCTCTCTTCACCTTGCCCCATTCATTCTACACATCGAAGAAACCAATTAATACCCATCGTAAACAGTTCTTTGAGCGCACACGACCGTTTATGCAATTGCATCATGTCAATACATACAATCATTTGAAGAGAGAATTCAGTTACCAGTGGCATTCAAATACTAGGTAACATGTAACAATAATCTTGGAAATCTGAGAATAAGGAACTCTGCAAAAGCTACCAATTTCTTATCATTCGTCCCTGCTACGAGTAATACTTGCACGATTTTAAAAATTACAAAAATGAATCCTTGTTTGTCATCGCATGATAATACTCCAAGTAAGTCAGTTCATATGTTAATTTGGTCTAGAATATGATGGGGAAAAATAAACAGAATTAGTACCTCAGCATTGTCAGCATCATTTCGGGCATATTCAGCTTCTTTTCGAGCATCCTCTAATATTTGTCTTATCTCCCGAATTTCAAACTTTAGCAGCTCAACAAGATCTTCCTTTTCCTCCAACTCTCTCTTCACCTTGCCCCATTCATTCTAAACATCGAAGTAACTAATTAATACCCATCCTACACAATTCTTTGAGGGCACACAGCTGTTTAAGCAATTGCACCACGACAATACATGCAATCATTTAACGAGAGAATTCAGTTACCATTCGTTTTCAAATGCTAGGTAACATGTAACAATAATCTTAGAAATCTGAGGATAAGGAACTCTGCAAAAGCTACCAATTTCTTATCATTCATCCCTGTTACGAACAATACTTGCACGATTTTAAAAATTACAAAATGAATCCTACTTTTCTTAACGCATGATGATACTCTCAAGTAAGTCAGTTCATATGTTAATTTGGTCTAGAATATGATGGGGAAAAATAAACAGAATTAGTACCTCAGCATGTCAGCATCATTTCGGGCATATTCAGCTTCTTTTCGAGCATCCTCTAACATTTGTCTTATCTCCTGAATTTCCAACTTTAGCAGCTCAACAAGATCTTCCTTTACCTCAACTCTCTCTTCACCTTGCCCCATTCATTCTAAACATCGAAGTAACCAATTATTACCCATCCTAACATTCTTTGAGGGCACACAGCTGTTTATGCAATTGCACCACAACAATACATGCAATCATTTAACGAGAGAATTCAGTTACAATGTTTTCAAATACTAGGTAACATGTAACAATAATCTTCTAAATCTGAGAATAAGGAACTATAAAAAGCTACCAATTTCTTATCATTCATCCCTGTTACTAACAATATTTTCACGATTTTAAAATTACAAAAATGAATCCTACATTTTCTTAACGGATGATACTACTCCATGTAAGTCATTTCATATGTTAATTTGGTCTGGAATACGATAGGGGAAAAGTAAACAGAATTACTACCTCAGAATGTCAGCATCATTACGAGAATATTCAGCTTCTTTTCGAGCATCCTCTAACATTCTCTTATCTCCTGAATTTCCAACTTGCAGCTCGACAAGCTCTCCTTTTCCTTCAACTCTCTCTTCACCTTGCCCCATTCATTCTAAACATCAAAATAACCAATTATTACCCATCCTAAACGATTCTTTGAATATACACAACTTTTTATGCAATTGCAACATGTCAATACATACAATCATTTGAAGAAAGAATTCAGTTACAGGTGGCATTCAAATGCTAGGTAACATGTAACAATAATCTTCTAAATCTGAGAATAAGGAACTGTAAAGTAGCTACCAATTTCTTATCATTCCTCCCTGTTACTAATAATACTATCATGATTTTAAAATTACAAAAATGAATCCTATATTTTGTTATCACATGATACCACTCCATGTAAGTCTGTTCATATCTTAATTTGGTCTAGAATACGATAGGGGAAAAACAGAATTAGTACCTCAGCAACGTCAGCGTCATTTTGCGCATATTCAGCTTCTTTTCGAGCATCCTTTAATAATTGTCTTATCTCCTGAATTTCCAACTCTTGCAGTTCGACAAGTTCCTTCCTTTTCCTTCAACTCTCTCTTCACCTTGCCCCATTCATTCTAAACATCAACGTAACCAATTAATACCCATCCTAAACGATTCTTTGAATATACACAACTGTTTTATGCAATTGCACCATGTCAATACATGCAGTCATTTGAAGAGAGAATTCAGTTAAGGTGATTCAAATACTAGGTAACATGAAACAATAATCTTGGAAATCTGAGAATAAGGAACCGGTACAAAAGCTACCAATTTCTTATCATTCGTCCCTCTTACTAATAATATTATCACGATTTTAAAATTACAAAAATGAATCCTATATTTTGTTATCGCATGATACCACCCCATGTAAGTCTGTTCATATGTTAATTTGGTCTAGGATATGATAGGGAAAACAGAATTAGTACCTCAGAAATGTCAGCATCATTTCGCATATTCAGCTTCTTTTCGAGCATCCTTTAATAATTCTCTTGTCTCCTGAATTTCCAACGCTTGCAGTTCGACAAGTTCTTCCTTTTCCTTCAACTCTCTCTTCACCTTGCCCCATTCATTCTAAACATCGACATAACCAATTAATACCCATCCTAAACGATTCTTTGAATATACACAACTGTTTTATGCAATTGCACCATGACAATACATACAATCATTTGAAGAAAGAATTCAGTTACAGGTGGCATCAAATGCCAGGTTAACATTAACAATAATCTTCTAAATCTGAGAATAAGGGACTGTAAAAAGCTACCAATTTCTTATCATTCCTCTGTTACTAATAATATTATCACGATTTTAAAATTACAAAAATGAATCCTATATTTTGTTATCACGTGATACCACCCCATGTAAGTCTGTTCATGTGTTAATTTGGTCTAGGATACGATAGCGGGAAAAAACAGAATTAGTACCTCAGAAATGTCAGCATCATTTCGAGCATATTCAGCTTCTTTTCGAGCATCCTTTAATAATTCTCTTGTCTCCTGAATTTCCAACGCTTGCAGTTCGACAAGTTCCTCCTTTTCCTTCAACTCTCTCTTCACCTTGCCCCATTCATTCTAAACATCGACATAACCAATTAATACCCATCCTAAACGATTCTTTGAATATACACAACTGTTTTATGCAATTGCACCATGACAACACATACAATCATTTGAAGAAAGAATTCAGTTACAGGTGGCATTCAAATGCCAGGTAACATTAACAATAATCTTCTAAATCTGAGAATAAGGGACTGTAAAATAGCTACCAATTTCTTATCATTCCTCTGTTACTAATAATATTATCACGATTTTAAAATTACAAAAATGAATCCTATATTTTGTTATCACGTGATACCACCCCATGTAAGTCTGTTCATATGTTAATTTGGTCTAGGATACGATAGCGGGAAAAAACAGAATTAGTACCTCAGAAATGTCAGCATCATTTCGAGCATATTCAGCTTCTTTTCGAGCATCCTTTAATAATTCTCTTGTCTCCTGAATTTCCAACGCTTGCAGTTCGACAAGTTCCTCCTTTTCCTTCAACTCTCTCTTCACCTTGCCCCATTCATTCTAAACATCGACATACCAATTAATACCCATCCTAAACGATTCTTTGAATATACACAACTGTTTTATGCAATTGCACCATGTCAATACATACAATCATTTGAAGAAAGAATTCAGTTACAGGTGGCATTCAAATGCCAGTTAACATTAACAATAATCTTCTAAATCTGAGAATAAGGACTGTAAAATAGCTACCAATTTCTTATCATTCCTCTGTTACTAATAATATTATCACGATTTTAAAATTACAAAAATGAATCCTATATTTTGTTATCACGTGATACCACCCCATGTAAGTCTGTTCATGTGTTAATTTGGTCTAGGATACGATAGCGGGAAAAAACAGAATTAGTACCTCAGAAATGTCAGCATCATTTCGAGCATATTCAGCTTCTTTTCGAGCATCCTTTAATAATTGTCTTATCTCCTGAATTTCCAACTCTTGCAGTTCGACAAGTTCCTCCTTTTCCTTCAACTCTCTCTTCATCTTGCCCCATTCATTCTAAACATCAAAATAACCAATTAATACCATCCTAAACAATTCTTCCAGCACACACGACTGTTTATGCAATTGCAACATGTCAATACATACAATCATTTGATGAGAGAATTCAGTTACAAGTGGCATTCAAATACTAGATAACATGTAAAAATAATCTTGGAAATCTGAGAGCAAGGAACTGTGCAAAAGCCACCAATTTCTTATCATGCATCCCTGCTACTAATAATATTTTCATGATTTTAAAATTACAAAAACGAATCCTATATTTTGTTATCGCTTGATACTACTCCATGTAAGTCAGTTCATATGTTAATTTGGTCTAGAGAGGGGAAAAATAAACAGAATTACCACCTCAGCAATGTCAGCATCATTTCGAGCATATTCAGCTTCTTTTCGAGCATCCTCTAATATTTGTCTTGTCTCCTGAATTTCCAACGTTAGCAGTTCAACAAGCTCTTTCTTTTCCTTCAACTCTCTCTTCACCTTGCCCCATTCATTCTAAGCATTGAAGTAACCAATTAATACCCATCCTAAACAATTCTTTGAACGCACACAACTGTTTATGCAATTGCACCATGTCAATATACAATCATTTGATAAGAGAATTCAGTTACAAGTGACATTCAAATGCTAGGTAACATGTAACAATAATCTTGGAAATCTGAAATAAAGAACTGTGCAAGAGCTACCAATTTCTTATCATTTGTCCCTGTTACTAAGAATATTTTCACGATTTTAAAATTACAAAAATGAATCCTATATTTTGTTATTGCCTGATACTACTCCATGTAAGTCAGTTCATATGTTAATTTGGTCTGGAATATGATAGGGGAAGAAGAAGCAGAATTATTACCTCGGCAATGTCAGCATCATTTCGAGCATATTGAGCTTCTTTTCGAGCATAGGCTAGTTCTTGACCCATCTTTTCAATTTGTCTCTTGGCTAGTTCTACCTCATCATCTTTCTCAATTCTAAGCCTTTGGACAGTTTTTCCTTCCTCTATCAGCATTCTTTTAAGTTTAGCACATTCACTCTGTAAAATTAGCTAAAGCTTTAACAGAAAGGTAATGGAGCGATAAGCTTTAAGTGTCAAATTCAACTTCAATAGGAAAAAAAAGAAAAAAAAGTATATTTATGGATGAATAATTATGCACATTTCTTCACAGATTAAATACAGTGAAGAAGTTATTAATTTCATCTTCTAATACATTTTGTTAAACCTAAATCTGTAAATTTTAAATTAAAAAAAACATAACATCACATTATTTTCAAACGTAGTCTCACTCTAAAATCTCCAGCCACATGGTTATGTTTCCCATTAGCACTAAAGATGAAAACATGTTTATTTTTATTTTAATTATCCATGTTTTATGAAGACAATTACTTGCTTTTAAATTGTAGAAGGATCAAATTTACCACTGCAAGTGAATCATAACTTTTTTACTTTCTGATAAACCAGTAACAAGAAAGGAGAAGAAATTCATCTGAATAAACCAGAATAAAAGAAGTACGAGTACGCTTCTTTTGGTTTTTAAGCATGTCTTTTATAGTGATTTAAAAATTGAAAAGTACTTTTTAAAACAATTAAATAAGTATCAATCAAACATTAACTGCTTCTTTATGATTCAGTTTTGTATATACTTTTTTAGAAAAACGTTCTCTAGAACATTTATCTAAAATTCACCTCAGCTATCACAGAAGCATTAAGGGCATTGGCTAACTCCAGCGCCTTCTCTTCATCTGGCCTGCTAGCCCTTTCTCTTGTCTCTTGACATTGCAACTCCATCAATTTGACATGCTCTTCCATGTTCTTCAAATCTCTCTTCACCTTAGTCCATTCGTTCTGAATACAAAAACTTCCAATTAATAGCCATTTGAGTGCTTCAATCATCCTAAACAATTCTTACACAAAATTTTCAACAATTTCTCACATCAAAATGTATAATACTTTGAAGAGTCAAATGACAGATAAAATCATTAAGAAGCTGTGCATAAATTGAATTTCTATCACTCAGACTCTTACAATTTCATGTAAGTTGGTTCATATTGTAAATTAATCTAATAGATAAATATTATAAATTAAGGGTGAAAATACGAACATAATCAGTACCTCAGCAGCATCAGCATCTTTTCGAGCTAGCTCAGCATCTTTTTGAGCAAGGGCTAATTTTTTATCAATCTCTTCAATTTGCCTCTTGGCTAGCTGCGCCTCATCATCTTTCTCAATTCTAAGCCTTTGTACAAATTTTTGCTCTTCTTCCAGCATTCTCTTCAGCTTAGCACATTCATGCTGTAAGATTTGATATGAATTAATAATGGTAAGGAAGTGATACAGTCAAACTGTCACACCAAACCGAAATGGGAAAAACAAAATTAAATAAACAATTATACAAAGTTCTTCACCAGTTACAAACTTGAAGCAACTGACATGAATAATATCATTATGAATTTTACTGGCTTTTTGTTTTTTGGAAGAAAAAAAATAACACCAGCATAAAAATCACATTTTCAAACGTTGCCTCAATCCATAAAGTCAGTAGCCACATAACTATAGCAGGTTTCACCTAAGAAACAAAGCTAAGAATAAATACTGATTACTGCCCCTTTCTAATGAGCCTCAGAGAGTTGGAAAAGTTTGAAAAAATTAAAAAAAAATTGCACAAACGTTGATCTTTGATGAAAAACTCAAGTCCTTATTTGTTACAACTTTTGGAAATATTAACAATAAAATCATTCAAAAGTTATGCATAACAAGATGACATTCACTATTAAAAGAGGCAGACAAACTCAAAGGCAAATAAAAATAGACAACAGCAACAAGAAATGTAACAATAAAGCCTTATCCCATTAGGTGAGGTCGGCTATATGGATCGCACGATGCCATTGAGCTCTATCCAAAACCAAATTTTTAGATATACTGTTAATTGAAAGATCTCGCTCAATAACTTTATCAAGTGTTTTCTTTGGGCTTCCTCTACTCCTTTTTAGAAGACATTATACTGTTTGATCAACTCTTCTTACCGATACATCCAAACGCCTTCTTTGCATGTGACCAAATAATCCCAAACAGTTTTCTATCATTTTCTCATCAATAGTAGCCACTCCAACTTTTCTGTGTATATGTTCATTACGAATCCTATCTTTTCTTATATGATCACACATCCATCTCAGCATTCTCATCTCCGCTACCGCCACTTTATGTTTATGTTGTCTCTTTAAAGCCCAACACTCACTACCATATAGCATTGCTGGTCTCATAGCAGTGCAATAAAACTTTCCTTTGATCACAATAGAAAAAAGAAATGCCTAAGCAATTTCAGAAACACGAAGGGCCTCAACTAGCTCCTCTTCAACTTGCCTCATGGCAGTTTGTCTTATCTCATCACATTCTGACTTTAGCAACTGAAGAAGCTCTTTCTCCTTTTGTAACTCTTTCTTTGCCCTAATCCATTCAGTCTAAATGTAAAATTACTTATTAATAGCTATTTAAGAGCTTCGATACATTCTAAACAATTCTTTAAGTACAGAAAATATATCATCATGATTGCTCCTAATCAATATATAGAACCATTTAGAGAACAGAGTCAGCCATTAGTAGAATTCGAATGACAGGCATAAACCAATTACACAGAAAGAAAAAAAAAGAGGTACAAAACAGCTTTCATACAGTAAATATAATGAAAGCAAGTGATAGAGAGAAAAGTGAAACCAAAGCAGAAAGCTAATTACTATGATGTAACCAGCACAATGACAGAGAGGTAACCTTGATAATAACCTCATTCCAGGTCAAACCTTGACTTAACCAGAAAATGGCACCAATTACATTATATTTTCTTGCCACGAGAGCTGATCACCATTTCCATTATATTCCTATCATTATTCCCCCACCCAAATCAACATTGTCCATTGGCTGACAAATGAAAAATTAACCTTATCCTCTCAAGGTTGAGCTAGATACTCAACAAAATTAAAAGAAACACATGCATAACGTTGTCTTGGCCCCTGAAAAAGTTCCTTCCAACTGAAGCATAAAGAAACCAGTAAAGAACTTTAACAAGTAAAAGCTATATTACTTAGCTTCAACTTGCCATATTAAAAACTAATGAATTAAATACTGAACTGGTAAGGAGGAAGACACGAGAGAATAGAAATGTCTTCCAACGCATAGCTGCTATGTGTGAACGAGCATCCCTTGTTTTTCTATTCAGTACAGCTTCTGTCTTATACTCAGTTTCTTCTGCCACAATCTTCAGGGGAAGCCTGCGCATCCCCTTTATTTTTTTCTCCTTTAATCTCTTCTTTGTCATCCCTCTCTGCTCTCTATTCCAGCTTCTCTCTCTCTCTCTCTCTCTCTCTATATATATATATATATATTCTCTTATGCCTGAGTCTCTTCTCACCTTTTCTCAAATTTGTCTTTGTTTTTTTCTTTTGATTTGTAATTTCTTCTATTAGCCCTTGGATTTCAAGCTAAAGATTCGATGTGTTGCAACAAAAATGGCCCCTCCTTGGAATGGCAAGCACCTTATTATTAGAGCAATCAATTCATCAAGGATCAAAAGCAAAAATAAACATCCTCCCCGAAGTTATGACCCATGAGAACCGACAACCTAAACACCTTGTAGCAGAATAATATTACAATCGTAGTAACATTTCCTTAATGTTCTACATCTTTGACTCAGTCTGATTCATACAGAACCTCATCTGAATGATCTTGCTGTTGATGGACTCCCAATCCTTTCTCATGGGAAAATAGCACAGTGAGAGGTGACTTCCACGACAAATTTGTGCAAGCTCAAACCTCAACCTAACCAAACGCAATCACACTGTCCTAGCTCTCCATTTGACAAAATTCCTATCCATAGAATCAAATCATAATTCCTACTTGCTACCATATCCCTATTATGCACAAATTGAAATTCTTCATCATTTAAATTGGTTTGTATAAATGTTTTCATAAATTTTAAAGCACAAGAATCCTATTTTTTTGCTTTGCAAAATGATCACAATTCCTTGTAAATTGGGTCACTTTGCTCATTTGCCTGAAAAATGATACATAAATATTTTAATACAAATGAGAAAAGATATCAACAAGACTCAAACCTCAGCAACATCAGCCCTAGGAGTCATGTACTCAGCGTATTTTCGAGCATCACCTAATTCTTGACCTAGCTCTTCAATTTGTCTCTTGGCCAGTTGAGCCTCATCATCTTTCTCAAGTTTAAGCCCTTGGACAAGTTTTCGCCCTTCTTCCAGCATTCTCCTCAGTTTATCACATTCACTCTGTAAAGTTAACAATGGGTTCAAAATAACAATAATGATGTGATACAGAAAAGCATCACAGCCAACTCAAATGGAGGGAAAAAAATTTAATCATCAACAAATAAGCAGCCGTATATACATTGACAACTTACAAGCATCAAAGGAACTAATATTAGAGTAACATCACTTTCATCTTTTCATATATCTTGTCAAAACCAAAATTCGAAGCTCTCAATATGACAAAAGCCAACTTAAAATTGAAATTATTTTCAAATGCAGCATCACCCTTTATAAAATCTCAAGCAACATAATTATATCATGGTTACCGTTCCCCGACCGGAGAAGTTATTTTTGGGGGAGAAACCTAACTATGAGTAAAGAATAATGCATTCATTCATTTATTTTTTTACTATTTGTGTTTCGTAGACACAGGCATTTGCTTTTGATTTACAAATGGATTAAATTTTCCACCCTGATAGAAGCATAAAATTAGTATTTGCTTATAGAGCAATATTAGAGACAGGGCCAAAAAACCAAAAAAAAAAAAAAAATCGACAACATAAACATAGAAAATAGGGAAAATTCAAATAACCCTCACTGTGGCAAATTTGTTTCGAATAGCCCCCATAGAAATATGAAATTTCACTGCACCTTTTTGACGGTATAATGAAATTAATTTCTGGGGCAAAAAGACCTAAATAACCCTTTTGAGGGTGAAACACCTTATTTTCACTGTAAAATCCTTTATTCCAGTCGTGTATGTTCTTATTTTACTTGTCCATGCCCAAGTTTAATTGGGTATAATTTATATTTCTTGTGAATGACCTTATTTGTGCTGTAAAAGCTCAAATGTGTCCTGCGAACTGCCTTATTTCTGCTGTGAACTCCCTAATTTCTTGTGAATGCTTACTTTACTTATAAATGCCTTACTTCAGTTGTAAATACCCTTAGTTTTCTTCTGAATCACTTTATTTGCATTGTAAAATCCCTTATTCCACCTATGGATGTGCTTGGTTCACTTGTTAATTCCTAAGCTTAGTTGGGTATAATTTATGTTTCTTGTGAATCACCTTATTTGCATTGTAAAATGCCTTACATGTCTTGTGAATCTCCTTCCTTCTATTGTAAACTCATTAGTGTTTCTTGTGAAAGCAGGGCTATTTAGGTCTTTTTGCTTCACAAATTCCTTTCATTTTACCCTCAAAAGGATACAGTGAAATTTCATATTTCTATGGGGACTATTGGAAATAAATTTGCTACAGTGGGGGGTTATTTTAAATTTTACCCAGGAAAAAAAAAACCAACCATATATTTATTTCGAGTAGGTATTTTTTAGTGATTTAACGGAGAAAAGTGCTTCTCAAGATTATTGACCAAATGTTAAACATTGACTTGCAAGATAATTTGGCGTAACACTTGCTGCTTCTAAAATTAGAGTATGAGCAAATGCTTTTTTTTAAAAAAAAAAAAAAAAAATCTTTGCAAAGTTCATCTGGATTAGAATACATCTTTCAAGGAGCAAAAAACTGAAATAAATATTTTAAGGAAATAACATTAGCTACAACAAGTACCTCCGCAATTGAAGCAGCATTAATGGCATTCGCTAACTCTAGTTCTTTGTCATCAACCTGTCTCAGTACACTTTGTGTCATCTCCTTACTTTCTGGCTTTAGCAATTCCACAAACTGTAGAGCTTCTTGCAATTCTCTCTTCAACTTAACCCATTCATTCTTACAAACATAAAAAGATACCAATCAGTAGCCACTTAAGTACTTTAATCTATCCTAAATAATTTTCAAAGGGCTTGTAATATCTTATTAAAACTGACCACATAAATACTTTAAATCATTTGGAGAGGAGATTAGTAGAATGACAGATAGTACCGCTGGAATCCTCAAATTTAAGAGTAGTGCACAAATAAATTCAGCATACCGCCTTGTTAATCTTAATATTGTGAAATTTTAAAATCAGAAATGAAAGAATCCTGCAATACGATTCCTTATAAATTTATCCCAAAAAAAAAAAGATATGCTCGCGCACACTCAGAGACACACAGACACCCATAATATAGTATAATATAATATTGAGCTGAGGGATCAAGACAAGCCAAAACCTCAGCAACATCAGCTCTAGCCGAAGCGTACTCAACATCTTTTTGAGCCTCGGCTAATCGTTGACTCATCCTTTCAATTTTTCTCCTGGCCATTTGTGCTTCTTCTTCTTTTTCTTCTTTAAGCCTTTGCATAAGCTTTCTCTGTTCCTCCAGCAGCCTCCTCAGTTTAGCACATTCACTCTGTAAAGTTATCAACAGCACCAACTATAAGGAAGTGATAGAGTTCAAGTATCACATTCAGTTCAGATGGAAAAGCAAGATACAACTTTCATAATTATCTATGTTTCTTCACAAATTACAAGCAAGGGAGGAACTAATTCCACCGTGAAAGAAGCATAAAATTAGAGTTTCTTCACAGAACAATATAAGAACCCCCGCCCAAAAGTGGGGAAAATCTTCATAACAAAATCAAATTAAAAAGTTACTGACGACTACAGCACCAAGAACATATTCATAAAATAAAAGGAGCACCAAGAAATACCTCAGCAGCTGCAGCAGCATTAAGGGCATTGACGAATTCTACAGCCATCTCTTTAACTTGTCTCATCCAATGGAACTTATCTTGTCTCCTGAAATTCCAGCTTTGGTAATTCGATTAGCTTTTTCACTTCTTGCAACTTCCTCCTTGACTTAATCTACTCATCCGAAAATGATGCAAAGGTAAAAGCCAACGTGCTTGTGTGAAATGAGGGCAAAGACTCCATAGAACTCGATTTGGGTATCTACATAAAGATCACGTAACAATAGTGACAAGAGAATCAATTGCACAAACACCACAAGGGGTGAAAACAGCTTGTGTTGATCAGTCTCATCAATCCTCACATGTTTCAATTTCAGAGCGCATCAAGCAAGTAATGCAGCAGAAATATTATAAACTATTGAATATACATGAGAAAATACTCACGACAACTCTTTAACTGCAGTTTTGCCGTTTCTACCACTCTTTCGTCTTGCCTGCTTAAAAGCTTTTAACTCTTCAGTCAGTGGAAAGTTTAGAGTGGGTGAGGCCTTCTATTTTTTCTGGTCCAGAAATCGATGAAGCATCATCAGTAGCAATAGAGACAGAAGAAAGTGAAAAATTAGAAATAGCAACCATCAGTAACTTATAAAAAGAAAGGGGAATCTGGCAGTAAAAAGCCAAGAAAGAAAAAAGGCGAATAAAGAACATAAGGAAGGGGAGAAAAGAAGTCGACGCCTTGGTGTTAACGTTCTGAGTAAGGAACCCCTCGTCATTTGCTCTTTAATAAAAAAAAGAATTAAGTGAAATCATTTGGTACGGAAGATTCCTTAATCTTGATTATGTTGTAACGAAAATTACGAATGAGTCCTTCAAGAATTTATTTTTAAATAAATCTTATAAATTTGTAAAATATTTGGGATTTGATTGTAATTATTTTTTTCCAACGATTGTAATTAATTTCTCTAAGAAAATATGTTTATTAAAAAATTAGCCAAAAACAATTAATAAAGAGAGAAAGAAGTAATAAATGAAAAAAAAAAACAGAGAAGAAAATAAAATAGATTATATATGGAGTGCAAAAGTGATGAGAGAGAGAGAGTATGTGTGCATGTCTCCTAAATGTAATTCTCAACCGCCTTTTGTAATTAATATAATATTCCTCCGGTCTTTAATATAAGACTCATTTAACTAATTTGATTAGATTAAGGAAATTAGGTAAGTTAGTTAATTATAAAAAAAGTGACACATTTTTTTCAAAATACCATAATCATCTTTTTTAATATTTCATCTCCCTCCTCTACTTGATTATGAGTGAAAGAGTATCTATAGGGGTAATTTAGAGAAAATTGATAAATATGATAAATGAGTCTTATATTTAGGATCAAAACCAACTCAAGAATTGGATCTTATATTAAGAACTGGAGGAGTATATACAATCAATAGAGAAAAAAAAGCATATGTTGAGGATAAAATTAAAAAATTATTAAATAATTAGACAAAATTAAAATATAATGTATTTTATATTTTGAACCGGCCGGAGTAATACAAATACCCTCAGACTCCACTTGATTGACATTAATTGACTACCGGCACCCATTGACCAGTTATCGGCTATTTTTTTACCAATACAAATAAAAATTTTAAAAAACTAAATATTAATATTTTAATATTTATAAATCAGACATCACAGGTTTATAACTAAATTTTTAACATTTACAAGTCCAGTATTATAAATTTACAAGTCAAATTTCTTAAATTCACAGTTAAATCTCTAAAATTAATATTTAGAGGTCAACTTCATAGATTAACAAGTCAACCTCATCGATTTACAAGTTAATTTGCATAAATTTTGTGTTGGCTCCTCAAATTTTATGAATTCATTTACAGGTTAATTTCTTAATTTTACAAATCATCCTTCTAAATTCACAAGTGAACCTAAGATTCCTTACCTGACTAAGTTATAAAATTTGAAGTTTGGTTCATAAATTTAAATTGATTCAATTTGTAAAATTTGAAATCAAAAAATTAGGTAAATTTACTTGTAAATTTAGAGGGTTGACTCGTTAATCTAAAATATTGACTTATAAATATTAAAGTATTAATATTGTCACAGACAAAACTTAAATTTAATTGCTTAGTTCTTCCATTATACTTGTTATTTACTATTTAGCAAGTACTAGTTGTCACAATATATACGTGCACTTATAAATTTACCTATGAACACTTGTAAACTTTTGAATTAGTTATTATAATATAGAGTTAAAGTGTAATTTTAACAATAAAATTAATCCTAATATGCATTGGGCACTATAAAGTTTATTTGGATTCAAAAATATACATGAAGTTGTTAAAAGGGGCATCTAGCACTATACCGTCAACATTCATTAGTTTTGTCAGTGGGGCCCACGAAATCATATTTATGGTGCATTTTTAACAACAAATTTTTTTTATCAAATGGCATTGGGCACCACAAAATTTATTTAGATATAAAAATATACATGAACTTTATAAAGGGAAGATAACAAAATTCATCAACTTTAATTAATGTCAGTTAACTTCATTCTTTTATGTCCTATCAAATATTTCGTTTTCTTTCCACTCATCCTCATTTCCTCTCCTCCTTAGTATAATGGACTAATTTAAAAAAATTAAAGAAGTGAAACAATTACTTAATTATAAAATATATTGTATGATCTCTCTAAAATATTTATATGCATTACTAGATTATATATTAGTTATAAGCTAAGCAAATTAATTAAAAGAAAAGTGATAAATATAATATTTTAAAATAATTTATTTAATCTTTTTAAATTAGTTAATTGCGTTCTATACTAAGAACGAGAGGTAGTACTTAAGTGCTGGCAACAAACCTCTTGTCCTAAAAGAGAAAGACGTTGTCTTGGGTAAATATATATAAAAAGTTTGGAGGCTAAAAAAACGACATGAGACGGAGAGAGTATGCATGGATTATGATGAAATGAAGATGGATGGACTTGAAAATAAAAATAGATGAAGAGAAAATATGGCGTTTGATAGGAGCTAAAAAAATAAAGTTAACTGATATTTATGGGAGTTGATAAATTTTGCTATTTTTTTCATGTTAGAAAGTTTATGTATATTTTTACATCTAAATAAATTTTATGATGCCTAGTATCCTTTGATGTAAATTTTGTTGTTAAAAATACATCTTAAAACTAACTTAATAGGCCCCATTAACAGTAAACTAATAGACGTTAATGGCGTGAGATCAAATGTCTCCTTTTGACTATTTCATGTATATTTTTGCATCCAAATAAGTTTTATAATACCCAATGCTCCTTAAGATAAACTTTTTTATTAAAATTGTATGTTAACCCTATATAAATTAGGATTTGTAAATTTTGATATGAACACTATTTGTTTTTTGTTATTGCTAGTTGCTAAAATGCGTATACATATTTATAAATTCACCTATGAAATTGACCTAGTAAATATAAACAACTTGACTTAAATTTTATCCTATTTCAAAATGTTTATTTGTAAAGATAAGAAATTGTTTACAAGTAAATTTGCAACTTTGAATTGTAAATATTAAAGTGTTAATATTTTAATAAAAATTATTTTTAAAAAACAGTTCATTTTTTGACTGACTGGCACCTGTCAACATCGGTCAAAGGCAAAGGTCACATGAGACTTCTTACAAATTGAAGTTATTACATTACAACCGAAATCTCAAAGAGCTGAAAGTATTTTGACGAATTTAAAGAACTTATTTGTAAATAAATCTCTTATTTGTTAGGATAATTAATGTGAAGTTTTTTTTTCCTATTAAATATAGGAGAGAGAAGAAAAAAATGAGAGAAAATAAAGTGTTACATTAAAGACAATTTTATCATTTGTTTTAGGAATAAAATAGAAAAATTTTGTCATCTTAACACACATTTAATGACTAAACTTCTATTTATTGGTATGTGAGAAAAGCTAATTAACTTCTTACATCATAGATAAGAGGGGATATCTTTTAAAAAATGGTGATCATATTATTATTATTTTTCAAGATTAATTGGATCCCCATCTAGTTTTCCTCAGATTTCTTGATAAAAAAAAAATGAAGTTATTATAAAATATCTTATAAAAAAAGTAACATAACTAGGTGATAAAGTAATTAAAATTTTGGAGTACATTGATTTTTCTTTTTTCTTTTTGTCAAAAACAAATCGTATATTGATGAGCTTTACGCGTCTAACCATCTTTCTATCTTTTTTTTTTTTTTTTTGGTTTTTTAAGGTAAAAGAGGGGGCCAAACCAAACCCCAACAGTGAAAACTCAAAGCAATAAAAGAAACTAAAAAAAAAAAAAAAAGCAAAAGCAGAACGAAACTAGAAATAGTTTGGCAGCTTCAACCTTAACCTTCTACCACCAATAAGAGTTGGTCTAGTTGGTAAGGAGTTAGCTCATAACCCACAAGATAGCGAGTTGGAATTCTGCTACCAATGTAAAAACCTTATTGGTGGGCGATCTGTAAGTACCTCTGTGAGCGTTTTCTGAGCTTGGAGATATGCTTTGACCTTGGTGAGCTCCCGGGACCTAATTCACTTGAATTTTCTTTGTAGCCAAAAAAAAAAAAAAAAAACTTACCCTTCTACCTGTAAGTGTCTTTCTCCGCCTTAAAAATATCAGCCACTCTTGGGTGAGCCTCCGAGAGGACTCTTCTTTCTAAACCATCTCCCGGATCTGATCACTAATCACCTGTGGTATTTCATCCTCGTAACATTCCAAAGGCAAATCGGAAAATCTTACCCAAACCACCACTTCTATCAACTCTTCAGTCATTAGATTGAAGTTAGCTCTCCACTCTCTTATAACAAGATAGTAATTAGCAATTAACCAAGGCCATTACAGATTGCCCTATTATAATCCTCTTAGCTTGAAAACTTATTACCAAAAATTCATTGCGAAGGTCAATTACCGAGATGGATCCATTCTCCCCCCATAGCGTCTACAATTTCAGCTCTAGATTTCTCAAACTCATCGACCATCCAAGCAATTTCATAATCAAGCTTTTCTTGGACACCTTTCTCATCTTCCTTTTCCCCCATTCAGAGATGATCAGCTCTGGGATCAATGGATTTCCTTTCTCATGATGGTTGATTGTGATTCCCAACCCTTTCTCCTCCTCAATTCCCTCCATTTCTTCCTCTTCTGAAATGCCCTTCACTCGATTCACATAAGAACCAGCTTGTCCTGATCCCAATCCTTCCTCACCAGGTCCTAATAACGAGCTTTGCATTTTCTGCTTTGTTCTCTGCAGAAGGTTAGACAGATCAGCTGCATCCGTTCCTCCTAGCTCTAGGAATTCCATAGAGGGAGTGCCTTCAAGCTCATCGTGTTTCAATTCTGAACTGCTCCTCGTCCTTAATATAAAAACCTAATTATTAAATTAATTTTGATCCTAAATACTATTTCCAATCCTAAATATAAAAACTAGTTGACTAATTTGAGGAGATTAAGAAAATAAGTTAAGTTAGTTATTTGTTATATATAGGTGTTATATTTCCTAAAATATCCTTATTAATCAAGTGTGTTTCCTAGAACTACTATTATTAAGATGATTATCTTAGAAAAAAATGTATAAATATGAGAGATAAAGTGGATTGAAGTTTTATATTTAGGATCAAAATAAAAGTCAGATAAGGTCTTATATTAAGGATTGAAGGTAATATAAGATATATTTTTTATATTTATCAATTTTTTCTAAATTACCTCTATAAATATTCTTTCAATCATAATCAAGTAAGTGAGGGAAGGAGGATATTAAGAAAGATGATTATGATATTTTAGAAAAAATATGTTATATTTTTTATAATTAATTAAGTTACCTAACTTTCTTAATCTAATCAAATTAGTTAAATAGATATTATATTAAGAACTGGAAGAGTATATAATGTTGGATCCAGTTTTGGTCATCAAGTGATGAGCGCTGAGCACTTGATGATTAATCTCTGGACGGATTTAATATTTTTAAATTATTATTTTAAAATAAAAAATTATTTTTTTAAAGAATAATAATTAAGAGATTATCTTTATTTTTTAATTTTATACTTATTAAAATAATTATTTTAAAAAATTAAAATTAAAATTAAATCTCCAAATCTGATGAGTGTTTGGTGCTCATCAGTCTTGGTAAGCACCCAAACTCATTCCATATATGTTAAAGGGAAAAAGCTCTAATAAAACATATATCTTTCTATCTTTTCGTATTCTTGTGTCTGTAGCAACAGTTTTATTGGTCCATTTCAAACGCTCATATCATCAATAACCACGGCAATAATTGTTAATTACGTAGGCTAATTATTAATTAATTCAGTCCATGTTATTGTTGTTCGAGCATTTAGTGTATCGTCTTCATATATATATTATATATATATATATTTTTTTTTTGGATAAAATGACCATTTATTGAAAAAGAGTTATATATAACCAAATATTTATAACCCAAGGGTTTCGTAAAAAGGAGCTAATCCCTAATCCCTCGTAATATTACGAACCAAAATTTGAATATTTACTTAAAAAATGCTCCGTATACCAAATAGGATTGTCTTTAATTTTGAAAGAGATGCATACGACCAAACCCTGTAGAAAAAGACCATGCCAATCTTCCAGCTTCGTCTTGAGGAAACTTGGCCCAAAGCCACAAGAGCACGTTGGAAAAAAGGAGCGACCACAAGCCTCCCATGCACAATGACCAGTGAAGAGTGAAGGTCGCCAGATTACGCCACTATGGAGCGAAGCTCGCAAGGCAAATATATACCAATAGCAGCACTGAAAAGGACCTCTCGCCGAAAAGATCAGAGGATAAGGATGCATGCAAGTCTGCATGAAAGAGAGACCGACCAACGAAACATGCAAGGTGTAGCTAGCTCGGTTTCCAGGCTAGTAAACTAGTAAAAGCAAAAAGATAAACATAACAGAATGGCCATTTATGCTTTATCCTGACATTTAATAATTTATTAAAATTAATTTAGGGTTTTCAAATTTCTCTGATAAATTATATTTATGCTTTATTGACCCCAATGGTTTAATTATCTAATTAATTTTAAAAAGCTCACCAACCAAAGCGTTGAGTCATTAGAAATCACTGAACGGCCATTGCAGTTACAATAAGTGGTGGGAAATTCAAAGTACTCTGTATGATCCAATTTAATTACTGAGGATAAGATTTAACGCATATTTTACTTTCATAATCATGCAGTGTAAAATGATCATCCCTATCATGTCTACGGTGATAATGGAACAATGAGTTTTATTTATAATATATTTTATTTAAACAATTAATTATTTGCTTAATTACAATATTTTATAATATTATTCTCCTCGATGTGGATAACAAGTTTTATGTTTTCTTTTCAAACATGATTTTTTAAAATAATGATCCAAATGGATTTTTTTTATTTGTTTTCTCAAAACATCTTTTAAAAAACAATTTTACAAAATTTTTCTGAGGGGGAAAAAAGACAAAAACAAACAAGCCCTATCCATTCCATTACATTAATACATATACATGTTCCTTTGGGATCATCCAAAGTCTTCAAGCAGCTAATGGTTGCAGACATACAAGAAGCAAAAGAAATAAAGTCGCATGGGGTGATTCAATTTGAGGGCATGTTTGTTCACAACCAAAAAAATAAGTTTTAATTCCATTATTTGCACTCATCATCTGTTGGCTTTTATCCTTCTGATCCGAAATAGCTACTTATCATCATGGTTACTCTTAACAATTTGCATTAATGAATTTCTTTTTCTATTCTTTCATAGCTATGCCCTTTTATTCCATTATAACAATGACTCGATTCATTTGAGAATTATAGAAGCTTTATTTGTAAAATTTGGAGATTATATTATTGTAGTATGTGCATGTTGCTTTACTTCATTGGTTTTTAAGCATCAATATAATTGAGAGTTGAGACCACATTCAAGTTAAAACCCACAAGAGCCACAAAGGGGAGCCTAATATCTCCATCTTGAGCAAATCATAAAAATGACTCAAGTCACAAAGTCCGATGCTATGAAATTATAGTTATGTACATATGAGGCATTAGTGATATGTTCTTATTATGTACTCCTCCGGTCCTTAATATAAAATCCATTTAACTAATTTGATTAGATTAAGAGAGTTAAGTAAGTTAGTTAATTATAAGAAAAGTGACATATTTTCCCAAAACACCATAATCATCTTTCTTAATACCTCCTTTTCCTCTTCTACTTGATTATGGTTGAGACAGTATCCACATGAATAATTTAGAGAAAATTAATAAATATAAGAAATATGTCTTATATTTAGGACCAAAATCGACTCAAGAATTGAATCCTATATTAAGGACTGGAGGAGTACTTTGTAACTCTTATTTCATGAAAAGTATATGTTAAAAAAAAAAAAAATTAGTTCGTATCATTGATCAAACTTGGCAAATCTATCTACTTTCTATATAAAATCTTGTAATACCTGTTTGAGTTAAAATGGATCGGTTTTTGTAATACCCGTTTGAGTTAAAATGGATTGGTTCGCCTTCAACTCTCAATAAATTCGCTACTTATCATGTTCCGTTAACCAAGTCTTCAATATATCCGTTCAAAATGAATCCCCTTCTGCATTGATTACAGCGTCTTTTACTTTTCAATACAATTATGTTTCCAAATAAATATGATTAAACGGCCACCTTAGAATAATCATGGAGCCCCTCCAATATCCAGACGTTCTTCATTTGCTTTGTCACTCAATTCAAGCCATCCCCATGGTGACGTGAAGCAACTTTACTCCATGGTGAGAAAACATGGTCATCTCTTGTATTTTTCTGAGGTCCCTTCTAATCACTTGTGAATAGTAGCTGTGTCTTGGAGTTTCAAATAGTGGTTGATTTGTTGAATCGTTTTCTTTTCTGGAAAAAGAATCATTTTTTTTAACTTCATTTCGCTTTCATCATTCTATCGTTCCTTTCTTTGCATTAAATCTAGAATGATTGCTAATTTTTGGATGTTAATCTTTTTTAAATATAAATATAAAATAAACCCCTTGTAGCTCAACATTCCTAATTATGTTTGCAAATCTAATCCAATCTCTATTTATCTTGTGGTGTTTCAAGTTCTTCTCCTATTTTTGTTGGTGAACAGGCAAGGCTGGATTACAAACTACTTCTCCGGTTCTAAATATAAGATCCTTTTTGTAGTGTAATTTATACTATAAAAAGAGTTTTATATTTAGGACCGGAGTAGTACAAGTTGTTTTTCTCTATATAGAGATGCTTTTATGGTAGAGATCTCCTCAAGTATATGTTAAAATCGATCCAAATCATTCACTGAACTCAAAGGTAGTGCAAGTATTAGGTTTCTTTTTAATATGATGATCGAAGATGATAAGTACAGACGGGGGAGTTGCGATGTGCAAACTCTATATTTATAGATATATAGTATATGACCTTTATTTGTTTTACCTTTTGATGACTTTGTGTGTGTAATATTTTCAAAAATTAATAAAAGTGAGGTGTTTTTACCTTTCAATTAAATATAACGTTATCAATTATACCGTAACGCAAAGAAACAATCATGGCTAAGTTACACACACATTAACAGATGTTATTATTCCGTCCAACTACCTATTTAATCATTAATTCAATCATACTAACAAATGTTTTTCATGTCATAATATTTTTTCCTTATAGAACCTTTATTAATACAATATTGATTTACACATTATAATATTATGTATTGATTGCGTTTCAATATTGTTATTACTAGAGGAAGATTAATGATTTGCCAGCAATTTTTTCATATACATCGAATTATAAATCATTTACCTTAACATGCATTTATGCTCATGCCGAATTAATATATATTTTTAATTTGTGCATGATATTTGGTCCTCATTAACATGATTCTTAAAAAGAAAAGAAAACAATTAGAATTGATATCATTGGAATATGACATATAGCTGCATCAACCAACCCATGCATGGCATGGGGAAAAGTTTCTAGATGATTAAGAAATGTATAAAATGGAAGTTATTTATTACAGTAGAGAATATGTTTTTCTTTTTTTTTTTTGCTTCTTCCAGTGCGACGCACAGGATAATCCACGATCAACCATGACATGGCTGAAAAATGTGTATCAACATTTTGCATCCAATGCCTGGGAACTCTAGATTAACACAATATGATAATTATTGGCTAATACTACTACATAATAAACTTAAGGTTTACACAATATTAAAAAAAAAGCCTTAACTTAAATAAATGGGGGGAAAGAAAAAACTCTTGGTTTCCAAGCTTTCCGTGCAACGCACAGGAGTAGCACACGCTAGTTTAACAAAGAAAAAAAAATCCATCCACATTGCATCATCTTCAAAGCACGATGGAACGAAAACTACTGATACATTAGTGATATACACACACAGTTGATAACAAAGTAAGAGAATGAATGAAACAGATGGGTTGGATTTGAACCTAGACATGTCCTTAGTCATCCAGGAAACAGTTTGATGCGGTGGGTTATGTCCTCCCGACATATAGGACATGTGGAAAGCTCCACCCCACATTCTTCACAGGTCTGCATTAGAATCACATATAACCCATCATTCTCACTACGCAAAGGGAAAAGGCAAAGAAACCATTCTGGTAGAATTATTTACCATGTGTCCACATCCAAAGGCCATGTCCTTTACATTGGTCAGACAAATTACACAATCCTGCACATCATTGCAAATGCAGTTTTTCTTATTCCAGGTTTAGGATTGTTACGCATACCATAAATACTACCACGCAGTTTGCCTTTTGATTAATCTTTGGAGAAACTCTAACATTATATAATAATGTCCTTGGGAAAAGAACAAAGAAATCCATCTTACCAAAATAACTACTATAATAGGTATCAAACAGAAAGCTCAATGCAAATCATTCGTAGCTATTTCATCAGATGAAGTGCTTTAAATGTTTGGTATCAATGTTTTTCCATAAAATATAGCATGTACATAACCATTTTGCTAGATAACAATCTTATGATGTTTGAGTTGTAAAATTTGTCAATGTTATAGATAGAAGTTTATGACTTAACCTCAAACCAATCAGAAAGATGCTTCTTTTGACTTTCAATTGTGAAACAAGAAACTTATAAATAAGCTAGGCCCACACATAGTGAGGAAGAAACAGTAGTCGTAAGAAGCAAAATATTGACAATCATCTGAAGATTTGATTTCCTTCTCAAGAAGTGTCTTGCCAGAGGAGTAGATTGGGATAAGAAGTGAAGTTATTAGGTAGATCCACTATTTAAAACATATGTCTATTAGCCTAATCACGGATAAAAATCTAAGCATGACACATGTAAATTTCATTGAAAAAATTGACTAGCAAACTTACGATGATAATTTATGATCAGTTTGTTTTTGCAAAAAGAATCTTGATTTTTTTTTTAAAAAAAAAAATTTAACTACCTGGGCAGCGGCAGAACTCGATGATGCAGCTGTGGCAGCATTAAGGGCATCAGCTAACTGTAGTTCTTTTTCTTCAACCTGTCTCTTGGCACTTTCTCTTATCTCCTGACATTGCAGCTTTAGCAACTGCACCAGGTCAAGCTTTTCTTGCAAATCTTTCTTCGCCTTCATCCATTCGTCCTAAACATAAAATGTTACAAATTAATGGTCACTTGGATACTTTAGTCCATCCTAAAATATTCCTTTATGAGCACTTAATATATTATTATAACTGCTCCATCAATAATAAAAATCATTAGGTGAGGAGGCAAATCTTAAAGCCAAATATGCAGAAACATTAATTTTGACTTAGGTTTAAGAGCAGCACAGATACAAAAGCAATCTATTATCATCCAGCCCGGTTAGTGATAAGATTTTCACAATTTCAGAGTTTAAAATTCAATGTAAATGAGTTCGTAATGTCAATTTGTCTAAAATATTATCAACACACACACATATATATAATAATTTTTTTTTTGGTTTTGGGGGGGGGGGGGGGAAGGAGGGGTTGTGGGGAGAGTCAGTACCTGAGCAATGTCAGCATCATTTCGAGCATGCTCAGCTTCTTTTCGAGCATCCTCGAATTCTTCAGTTGTCTCTTCAACTTGTCTCATGGCAATTTGTCTTGTCTCCTGGATATCCAACTTCAGCAGTTTGATAATTTCGTCCTTTTCCCTCAACTCTCTCTTCACCTTGGCCCATTCATTCTAAATATAGAAGTAACCAATTAATACCCATCCTCAACAATACATTAAGTATACACAACTTTTTGTGCAATTGAACGATGTCAATATATAGTCATTTGAAGACATAATTCCGTTACAAGTAGCATTAAAATACTAGGTAACATGTAACGTTACTCTTGGAAATCCTAGAATAAGGAACTGTACAAAAACTAACAATTTCTTATCATTCATCCCTATAACTAATAATATTTTCACCATCTTAGAATTACAAGAATGAATCATATCTTTTGTTATCCCATTGATAAAGCTCCATATAAGTCCGTTCACATAGTTAATTGGTCTAGAATATGAGGCGGGGAAACCAACAGAATTAGTACCCCTGCAATGTCGGCATCATTTCGAGCATCGGTTAATTCTTGACCCATCCTTTCAAATTGTCTATTGGCCAGTTCTGCCTCATCATCTTTCTCACGTATAAGCCTTTGGACAGTTTTTCGTTCTTCCGTCAGCATTCTTTTAAGTTTAGCACATTCACCCTGTAAAATAAACTAAACCTTTAACAGAACTGAAATGGAGTGATACCTTTGAAGTGTCAAATTCAACTTCAACGGACAAATCGGAAACACAAGTTACAAATAAATAAGGGTTAGGCATATCTAGCACCCTAACATATTTTTCCAGATACATCCAATACCCCTAAAATATTTGTGGTACATCTAACATCATAAAGTATTTTTTCAGGTGTGTTCACCAATCTAAATTATATTTTGGTACATCCAACACCCTAAAGTATTTTCTCAGGGCATTGAACACCTCAAATTGTTTTTCAATGCATCAGCATCCTAAATTGCTAAATGTAAAATTATACTTAAAAATACTTTGGGGCATTAAATACATTTGCAAAATACTTCTTCTTTTTAATTAACTATCGACATTTGACAGGGGCAAAGGTATGCTTTTAAATTGTAGAAGGATCAAAGTTACCACTGCAGGTGATAACGTTTTTATTTGCTGATAAATCAGTATCAGAAATGGAGAAGAAATTCATCTGCAGAATAAAAGAAGTACAAATATACTTCTTCTAGTTTTTAAGTATGTCTTCTATTGTGATTTTTTTTGTTTTTAAAAAAAAGTACTTTTTGAAACAAATAAGTATCAATCAAACATTATCAGCTTTTTTATGATTCAGTTTTGTAAATACACACTGAAAGAATGTTCTCTAGAACATTTATCTAGAATACGATAGACGTAACTAAAACCGACCTCGGCGATCGCAGTAGCATTAACGGCATTGGCTAACTCCAGCGCCTTGTCTCCATCTTGCCTACTGGCCCTTTCTGCCATCTCTTGACATTGCAACTCCAGCCGTTTGACATGCTCTTCCATATTGTTCAAATCTCTCTTCACCTTAGTCCATTCATTCTGAATACAAAAACATCCAATTAATAGCCATTAAAGTGCTTCAATCAACCCTAAACTGTTGTTACAGATAATATTTTAAAATTGCTCACATCAAAATGTATAATCATTTGAAAATTCAAATGACAGATAAAAGTTAGATTAAGAAGCTGTGCACAAACTGAATTTCCATCATTCAGACTCTTCTATTTTGCTATCAAATTGATTACAATTGCATGAAAGTTTGTTCATATTGTAAATTAATCCAAGATATGGTAGATAAATACTACCTCTAATTCTTAATATAAGACCTTGTTTGACTTTTATTTTGGTTCTAAATATAAGACCCCAATCTACTTTGTCTCTCATATTTATGCATTTTTTTTCCAAAGTAGTCCTTCCAACAATAGTAATCTAGCCAATACACTTGATTAATAAGGATATTTTAGGAAAGATACCACCTATTTATTATAAATAATTAACTTAACTTCTTTCCTTAATCTCCTCAAATTAGTCAACTAGCTTTTATAATTAGGACCGGATATAGTATTAGAGAATTAAGCGAGAAAATACGAACATAGTCAGTACCTCAGCGGCATCAGCATCTTTCCGAGCTAACTCGGCATCTTTTCGAGTTTGGGCTAATTCTTGATCAATCTCTTCAATTTGCCTCTTGGCTAGCTGCGCCTCATCATCTTTCTCGAGTCTAAGCCTTTGTACAAGTTTTTGCTCTACTTCCAGCATTCTCTTCAGTTTAGCACATTCACGCTGTAAGATGAGATATGAATTAATAACAGCATGGAAGTGATCCAGTTAAACTGTCATACCAAACCCAAATGGGAAAAACAAAATTAGATAAATAATTATACAAATTTCTTCACCAGCTACAAACATGCGGCAACTGACATGAGTAACATCACTTCCATATGTTTACAAATTTTACTGTATTTTTAAAAAAACAAAACAAACATAAAAATCATATTTTCAAATGTTGCCTCAATCTGTAAAGTCACTAGCCGCATAATTATACCATGTTTCACTTAAGAAAGAAAGATAAGAATAAGGACCGATAATTCGTTTTTCTAAATTTTTCTGTATATTTCATAATTACATATATTTGCTTTAAAATGATGGAAGGATGTAATTTCCCACTGAACGAGGGAAGCATAAGTAAGTCACGTGAAATGGGAAGGGACAAGGGCAAGAGAGAGACTCAAGGATGAGAGTAAAATTCAAGAGCAACGGCATATTCAATTTCAATTTAATAATCAAAGCTAAATATAAGTGGGGAACCCTAGGGTTTTTTATATCTAGGAATAATAAATTAATAATAATCCTAATATTCAAATACCTAATAAGATAAATCTCAGTATCTTAAATAAGCCTTAATTAACCATCATCCCATATTTCATCATTTCTCCCTACCCGAAGAACTTGTCAAGTGACGCATATTTGATTTCTCACTTTATTTATTAATTTATTATTTTTATACTGAATAATCATGTAAAATATATTATATATTTATATCTACAATTTTTTGGATTAGTTTAATTACACAACTTTGTGAAAATATAAAAAACATTTGAATTTAGTATATAAAAATTTGTAATTTAATTTGAAAAATTAAAGAAATGAAAATGTTAAAGTTAATTTCAAAATATTTCTAAAATAAATATTGATAAGATGGGTCGGCGGCCGGACACTAGTTTGCAAAATGCCGACCTGCCTTGAGGCGGGCTAGAGACAAGGCCCAACTTGCAGCGAGTTGGCTGTACCGCCTATATGATCCTCAGCCCCAGAATGCTTGTGGCGGAAGAAACAGCTTAAAGCGTTGAAAAATAGCTGGAAAACGCAAATGGGTTGTCTGCATGTGAGGCCGTGTGGTGGTCGTTGGCCATGAAACTTTGGGAGCTGGCCGCGTTCTTGCCAATGGGGACATGGGGGCGGCGGTGCGACTATCTAATGTTGGGACAATGGATGAACAGGCTCTGGCAGTGATGCTTGCTGTGGAGCCTTTTGAGTTTAGGGATGATTGGCTATTTTGAAAAGCTCAAGCTCACAGAAGGAAGTGGGAACACTACTGGAAACTGATACTGATACTGATTGATGAGAAACAGGAAAGAAAGGAAGAGAGAGAAAGAGAGGGACTCAAGGAGAAGAAACAGAGTACAAAAATTCAAGAGGAAAGGCAAATTCAATTTCAATTCATAATCAAAGCTGAATACGTCCAATTAAAAAATTGACCAAATGTTGATATTTGATGAAAAATCCAGTTCCTTATTTGTTGAAACTTTTGGAAATATTAGCAACAAAATCATTTGAAGTTTCTGCGGATTAAGATGACATGAAATATTAAAAGGTGTAGACAAACTCAGACGTATGTAAATGAACAACAGAAACAAGAAATACCCCAGCAATTTCAGTAGAAGCATGAAGGGCATTGGCTAGCTCTCGTTCCTTCTCTTCAACTTGCCTCATGGCATTTCGTCTTATCTCATCACATTCCAGCTTTAGCGATTGACAAAGCTCTTTCTCCTCCTGCAACTCTTTCTTTGCCTTAATCCATTCACTCTAAACATAAAATTATTTATTAATAACCATTTAAAGAGCTTCAATACATCCTAAACAATTCTTTAAACGCAAAAAATACATTATTGTAATTGCTCCTCGTTAATATGTCGAACCATTTAGAAAGGAGAGTCAGTTATTAGCAGAATTCAAGTGACAGGCGTCACAATAGTGCTAGGATCTAGTCTATGAAAGGAGCACAAACCAAATGCAAAGAAGGAAAAACAGGGAAAGAGGTATAAAAGAACTTTCATATAGCATACATAACGAAAGCTGGTGATAGAGAGAAAAGTGAAAATAAAGCAGAAAGCTAATTACCATGACCTAACCAGCACAATGACAGAAAGGTAATTTTAATAATAACCTCATTCTAGGACACACCTTGACCTAACCAGCAGATAGTCCCAATTACATTCTTCATATTTTCTTGCCATGAGAGCTGACACTTTTCCCATCATATTCCTATCACTATTTCCCCATGTAAATCGACCTTGTCTATTGGCTGAGAAATGAAAATGAACCTTGTCATCAATGTTGGGCTAGATACTCAACAAAATTACAAGAAACACATGCATAACCCAATCTTCCCCCCGGACAAAGTTCCTTCCAACTGGGGCATAAAGAAACAAGTGAAGACCTTCAACGAGGAAAAACCAAGTCACTTAACTTCAACTTGCCATATTAGCAATTAATGAATTAAATACCAATCTGATAAGGAGGAAAGCACACAGTAGAGAACAGAAATGTCTTCCAACAAATAGCTGCTATGCGCGAAAGGTCATCCTTTGTTTTTCTGTTCGGTATTTTTTCTGTCTAATATTAGGCTTCTTCTCTCTTTTCTTATATTTCTTCTTCTATATTTTCCACAATCTTCAGGGGAAGCCTGGGCTTCATATATTTTCCCCTTTAATCTCTTCTCTGCATCCCTCTCTCTCTATTCTCTTTTGCTTTATAATTTCTTCTTCTATTAGCTCTTGGATTTCAAGCTAAAAGCATTGGATGTTTTGCAAAAAAGCCCCCCCCCCCCGGGGGGGGGGGGGAGGGGAATGGCAGACACCTTATTACAGACCAGTCAATTCATCCACGATCCGGAGTAAAAATAAACATCCCCTCGAAATTTCAGACCCATGTGAATTGACAATTGAAACATCTTGTAGCGGCATAATTATTATAATTGCAGAAAAATTGCCTTAATGTTCTACAACTCTGACTCAGTCTGATTCATGCAGACACTCATTTGACTGATCCTACTGTTGATGGACCCCCAATCTTTGTTGCTTTTGTCCAGACAATTGATGAGAAGAGAGTGATGCTATTCATCTTACACCAAAAACGGTAAAACAATAATGTTCATATGTTGGCAGCAACACTGGAAATTTAATGGTTTTGAGTCGCATTGCAAGGACAATGTCCTTAAGAGATATTCCACAACCCCTCCGTAATTCAAGAAGCAGCACTCTCCAGATTAAGCAAACCTTCTTGCAAAAGAGCAAGGTGATAGAACAGCAAAAGTTGGAAGAACGTAGGAAAACATTTTCAGAGGAGGGAGAAGGATGGCAATCACTTATGTGGTTGACACTTCCGCAAGCACCCTTTGCATAGGCACCGAAAGGACACACTGAACAAACACAGATTTTGGATGGCCAAGAGGCACGCTGAAAAAGGCGACCAGTTGTAATGCCAAAGAGGACAAAAATAATCTAGTAAATGATGCCCAATCTGAATCTAACTCTCACACAGAGGGGAGATCACTAGTTTTCAACTGGTTTTCCCTCCCGGCAGCCCGTTGTTGAGTGCGAGGCACACCTTCCTTTTGGCCCATTTACTTTCCCATGGTTACTTGGTTTCGTATATATACTTGGTTCTCCTCTCTACAAACCAGCGGGGGACTTTGTTTGTCACGCCTACACATACTACAATGCACGACACCATATCCCCCCTTAAGAGCTACAGGTCCTTTCTCATGGGAAAATGGCACACCGAGAGAAAGGTGACTTTCACGACAAACTTTTGGAACCTTAAACCTCATCCTAACCAAACAAAATCGCACTGTCCAGGGTCTCTATTCGACGAAGTTCCTATCCGTAGAATCAAATCATAATTCCTACTTCCTATCGTATAGCTATTGTGCACAAATAGAAATTTTTCGTCATTCAAATCGGTAGTATAAATGGTTTCATATTTCTAAAGCAAAAGAATCCTGTATTTTGCCTTTCAAAATGATCACAACTCCTTGTAAATAAACTGTGACACTTTGTTTATTTGTCTGAAAAACGACAGGCAAATATTTTAATATAAATGAAAAAAGATATCAAAACGAGTCAAACCTCAGCAAGATCGGCTCTAGTAGCAGCACATTCAGCATTTTTTCGAGCATCATCTAATTCTAGACCTATCTCTTCTATTTGTCTCTTGGCCGCTTGAGCCTCGTCATCTTTTTCAAGGGTAAGCCTTTGGACAAGTTTTCGCTCTTCTTCCAGCAATGTCCTCAGTTTATCACATTCGCTCTGTAAAATTAGCTATGAGTTCAACATACCAAAAATGGAGTGGTGAAAAAGGTATCACATTCAAATCGAATGGGGAAAACATTTCAATCATCAACAAATAACAATCTGTATATACATTCACAGCTTACAAACATAGAACGAACCAATATTAGAGTAACATCACCTTCATCTTTCCATGAACTTTGGCAAAGCAAAATTTATCCCTCTCAATATGACTAAAGCCAGCTTAAAAATCAACTTATTTACAAATGCAGCATCACCCTTTATAAAATCCCATGCAACATAATTACATCATAGTTAGTCTAACTATGAGTGAAAAAATAAATAAGCATGCGTTCATTTATTTATTTTTTCTATTTGTCTTTACTAAATGCAGACATTTGCTTTTGATTCACAGATGGATTACAGACAGAAAACACCAAAAAAAAAAAAAAAACACAATCAACAACATAAACACATGAAACACAAATAAAAGCCAACCATATACTAATTTCAAGTATGCACTTTTTAGTGACTTAACAGAAAAAAAGTGCTTCTCAAAATAATTGACCAAATGTTAATCTTTGATGGCGTAACACGTTAGAAAATGCTAATATTTTCTTTTTTAAAAAAGAAACAAATGAATATTGACTATCCCTCTATCTTGCCTAAATTGCAAAAACCTCCCCTCTATTTTGAAAACGCATATAAACTTCTCTTAAAATTAAAATATATGTTACACAAACTTCTTTTATATATTTACGATTTCATTTTCATCCATCCAATCTTTAATTAACCGTCAAGTTTAACTCTTAAATTTTTTTGGACCAAAATACCCTTTCTTAACTTAAATCTTTATAATACATATATTTTCAAACTTTGTAATACAATATACAATTTATTAATTTTGATTATGTTATGAAATTTCATAATTTTAATTTTTCATCAGATTTAGGGAGACTTATTTAAAGAATTCAAAGTGCTGGATAAACCTTAATCCACTAATCAAATTTTCAATTAAGTTTTTATGCCTATATTACTTAAATTACTTATTGTGGCCCCATATCATAAAAATATTAAACAAATAATTATTTACAAAAATAAAAAATCAAATTCTTCAAAAACAGTTCTAGTGAAAATTAGAGATTTAGTATTATGAAGGAAAATTAGTAAATAAAAAATATTTTTGATATAATTTTTAAATAAAAAAATCTTTTTAGAATATTCTTAAAGTAATTACATTTGGACTTAAGTATATGTTTTTAAAATAAAGGTGAAGTTTGTGTAATTAAAGGAAAATATAAGGGAGGTTAAAGTATTTTACTGAGAAAAAAAAACTTTGCAAAGTTTATCTGGATTAAAATACATCTTTCAAGAGGAAAAACTAAAATAAATATATTACCAAAAAAAAAAAAATAAATACTTTGATATAATAAAATTAGCAACAACAAATACCTCAGCAATTGAAGCAGCGTTAACGGCATTGGCCAACTCTAGTTCTTTATCATCAACCTGTCTCAGTAAACTTTGTCTTGCCTCCTCGCTTTCTGGCTTTAGCATTTGCACAAGCTCTAGAGCTTCTTGCAACTCTCTCTTCAACTTATCCCATTCATTCTTAAAAACATAAAAAGATACCAATCAATAGCCACTTAAGTACTTTAATATATCCTCAATAATTCTCAATGGGCTTGTAGTATCTTGTAACTGGTCGCATAAATGCACAGAATCATTTGCAGAGGTGATTAGTTGAATGGCATATAAAAACCTTGGAAGTCTCAAATTTAAGAGTGGCACACAAATAAATTTGTCATACAACCTTGTTAGTCTAAATATAGCGAAAATTTAAAATCGAAGATGAAAGAATCCTGCATCACAATTACTTGTAAATTTATCCCCAAAAATATATATATATCAATATTATATAAATTTGAGCCTCAGCAACATCAGCTCTAGTTGTAGCATATTCAACATCTTCTGTGCCTTAGTTAATTGTTGGCTAATCCTTGTAGCAGAATGATAGTATAATTGTAGAAACATTGCCTTAATGCTCTACATGTTTGACTCAGTCTGATTCATACAGATCCTCATTTGAGTGATCTTACATTCGAAGGACACCAAATCTTCGTTGCTTTTGCCCAAACAATTGATGAGAAGTGAATACTAATTCTTCCGGTAAATCCAGACAGAACTTCACTGGTTTTTACAACCAAATCATTAAAACAATAACATTCATATCCCTCCTTAAGAGCTACAGGCCATTTCTCAAAGGAAAATGGCACACTGAGAGAAAGCTGACTTCCATGACAAACTTTCGCAACCTTAAATCTCAACCTAACCAAACAAAATCACACATTCCTGGGTCTCCATTCGAGGAAGTTCCTGTCCATAGAATCAAATCATAATTCCTACTTCATATCATATCGCGCTATTATGCATCAATAGAAATTCTTCGTCACTCAAATTGATTGTATAAATGTTTTCATATTTTTAAAGCACAAGAATCCTGTATTTTGCTTTTCAAAATGATCACAACTGCTTGCAAATAAACTGGGCCACTTTCTTAATATTTTGATATAAATGAAAAAAGATATCAACAGGATTCAAACCTCAGCAACATCAGCTCTAGTAGCCGTACACTCGGCATTTTTTCGAGCATAAGCTAATTCTTGACCTATCTCTTCAATTTGTCTCTTGGCCACTTGAGCCTCGTCATCTTTTTCAAGTATAAGCCTTTGGACAAGTTTTCGCTGTTCTTCCAGCAATGTCCTCAGTTTATCACATTCGCTCTGTAAAATTAGCTATGAGTTCAACATACCAAAAATGGAGTGAGGCAAAAGTGTATCATATTCAAATCAAATGGGGAAAAAAGTTTTCAATCATCAACAAATAACCATCTGTATACACATTCACAACTTACAAACATCAAACGAACTAATATCAGAGTAACATCACTTTCATCTTTCCATAAACTTTGTCAAATCAAAATTTGTCCCTCTCAATATGACAAAAGCCAGCTTAAAAATCAACTTATTTTCAAATGCAGCATCACCCTCTATAAAATCCCAAGCAACATGATTATCTCATGGTTAGCCCAACTATGAGTGCAAAAATAAATATATGTCTTCACTTATTTATTTTTTTCTGTTTGTGTTTACTAAATGCAGACATTTGCTTTTGGTTCACAGACGGATTAAATTTTTCCACTCTGAGAGAGAAGCATAAAATTAGTGTTTAGTTATAGAGCAATATTATAGACAGAGCCCAAAAAAAATCAACAACATAAACACATGAAATACATATAAAAGCGAACCATATACTTTATTTCAAGTATGTACCTTTTAGTGATTTAACAGAAAAAAGTGCTACTCAAAATAACTGACCAAATGTTAATCTTTGATAAAGGCACCTGCAAGATAATTTGGTGTAAACCTTGCTGCATCTTCATCGCAGACTATTAGCAAATGCTAATATTCAAAAGGAAAAAAAAAAAAAACTTTGCAAAGTTTATCTGGATTAAAATGCATCTACTATGGAGGAAAAACTAAAATAAATATTTTAATATCATAAAATTAGCAACAACAAATACCTCAGCAATTGACGCAGCATTAACGGCATTAGCTAACTCTAGTTCTTTGTGGTCAGCCTGTCTCAGTACAATTTGTCTTGTCTCCACGCTTCCGGGCTCTTGCAATTGCACAAGCTCTAGAGCTTCTTGCAATTCTCGCTTCAACTTAACCCATTCATCCTTATAAATATAAAAAGATACCAATCAACAGCCACTTAGGTACTTTAATCTATCCTAAATAGTTTTCGAAGGGCTTGTAATATTTTATTATAACTGATCACATAAATACATAGAATCATTTGGAGAAGAGATTATTTGAATGATGACACATAAAAACCTTTGTCAAATTCAAGAGTGGCGCACAAATAAAGTTATCATGCAGCCTCGTTTGTCTAAATATCGTAAAAATTTTAAAATCAGAAATGAAGGAATCCTGCCTTACGATTCCTCGTAAATTTGTTGAAAAAAAGGATAATAAAATTGGGGCGGGGAGGGATCAAGTCAAGCCAGAACCTCAGCAACATCAGCTCTAGTTGTAGCGTACTCTACATCTTTTTGAGCCTCGGCTAGTCGTTGGCTCATTCTTTCAATTTTTCTCTTGGCCATTTGTGCTTCATTTTCTTTTTCTTGTTTAAGCCTTTGCACAAGCTTTCTCTCTTCTTCCAGCAGCCTCCTCAGTTTAGCACATTCACTCTGTAAATTTAAAAACAGCTCCAACCATAAGGGAGTGATGAAGTTGAATTATCACAATCAGTTCACATGGAAAAGCAAGACACAATTATCAATGCATAATCATCTATATTTCTTCACGAATTACAAGCAAGGAAGGAAAAAATTCCACCGTGAAAGAAGCATAAGATTAGAGTTTCTTCGCAGACCAATATAAGATCCCCGCCCAGAAGGGAGGGGAAAAAAATCTTTGGAACAAAATCAAGATAAAAAGTACTGACATAATCCAAAAGAAGCATATTCATAAAATAAAAGAAACACCAACAAATCATACCTCAGCAGCTGCAGCTGCATTAAGGGCATTGACGAATTCTACAGCCATCTCTTGAACTTGTCTCATCTCATGGAACTTGTCTTGTCTCCTGAAGTTCCAGCTTTGGCGATTCGATTAGCTCTTCCCCTTCTTGCAACTTCCTCTTTGCCTTAATCTACTCATCCGAAAATGATATAAAGGTAAAAGCCAAGGACATTGTTGTGAAATGAGGGCCAGGGCCCATAGAACTCGATGTGCGTATCTAGATAAAGACACGTAACAAGAGTGACAATAAAATTAATTGCACAAAGGGGGGGGGGGCAAAAGCTTGTGTTGATCAGTCTCAACGATCGTTACAGGTTTCGATTGCAGAGCGCATCAAGCAAGTAATGCAGCTGAAATATTATAAAATATTGAATCTACATAAGAAAATACTCACGACTGCAACTCTTTAATTGCAGTTTTGCGGTTTCTGCCACTCTTGCGTCTTGCCTGCGAAAAAGCTTTTAACTATTATGTCAGTGGAAAGCTTAAAGCTGGTGAAGCTTCCTGTTTTTCTGGTCAATAAACTGATGAAGCTTCCTCAGTGGCGACTGAAGCTAGAACAAAGTGGAGAATCAGAACTAGCAACTGTAAGTAAAGCATACAAGAAGAAAGGGAAAGGCAAGTAGTGGAGAAAAGAAGACGACGACTTGGTGTTGACGTTTCGAGGAAGGAAAGTCTGGCCATTTCATATTGTGAAAAAGATTCCCTAATAATATCAAGGAGGAAAGAGAAAGTTCAGATGCTTGTGATTGTTTTGGTCAAACAAGCACAGCTGCTTATGATTGCGCCTCATCTTTAATCAGAATTTTTTTTTTGGTCTTAAGATGGAGAGTTTTTTTCTAAAATATTTAGATAAAAACTAAACCATAATTTTAAAAATAATTTTATAATAAATAACATAAATATGTTGAAAAATTTGTCTTAATCAGCAAAAAAAGTGTTTTTAGAAATCACTTTTATAAACATAAGTAGTATGGTATAATTTTGCGTTTAAAATTGTTAATTAAATTGATATAATCTCATCCCAGTTTAACTGTTAAGTTGCTTAGTTAACTAACAATCAAATTAATTTTAGATGGTATATCACATGTTTACGAGCAATTTTTTAAGGATGAAAAAAAAAAAAAGAACTTGTGACAAAAACGTATGCCTTGCTTAGTAGCATAAAAATAGGGAGACGGGAAGCAAAATTAGAAGTAGAACCAAAATTTGGCCATTTAGGAGGTGTTTGGATAGTTTGAAAAGTGCTTCTCAGAAGCAGTTTTCTGTAAATCGAGATAAACTCCTCCTCCTCCATATATTTATAGACCGTAAAATCACTTCTAAAACCATGGTTTAGTTTTTATCCAAACACCCATTTAGTTGAAGCACTCCCGTCTCAGTTCCATCAAATTTGGAAACTTCCGCTTCTTTAACCCTCCATGAGAACTGAGTTCCAGTTCCATGAAATTAGAACTCAGATCGTTTTGCCCTTCCCCCGTCCCATCTTCTTCCTCTATCTCTCCCATCCCAACCTTTTCTGGTCCTCTACCGGTGATGGATCTCTACAACGACGGCGACATGGTCGATGTTGGCATGTCTTTCCCAACGAACGCAACTCCGACCTCCGGTAACGAACGCGACTCTATGTTCTTCTCCCTCCGCCAATGAGCTTGACCTTATCGTTGTCTCCTTACAGCAACAAACGCAACTCTGCCAGGCGTTGGGAAATGCTTCGATTTGAGTTTGGTTCTTCAAATCTGGCTCAAAATCTAGTGAGAAAAATATTTCTTACCCTTGTTCACTGTCTTGATCATTACTTTAAAATTACATAATATTTTTTAATGGATCTTATTTTATTAAAAACTAAATTCAGAGAGTTTTTCAATAATGGGTCATTTCCCTGATTTGAATTTAAACTGAGAAAATTTTATCTAATCAAAAGTTACCCTGTTTATTAGAATGTATCACGCATAAATTAGAATTTATTGATACAAATTCTAATTTACATTAATAAACCCATGGTTAAAATTTTATCCGTGAGAAGGAAATGAACATTTTCAAATTTGATTAGCATTTTCAAATTTTCTTAAATAGATTCAAATTTAATCCAAGAAAATTAAAATTTCTTATATCAAATTCAAATTTGCATGCTTCTTTTCTTGTTGTATTAAAGCTTAAAAGCTCATTTGATTTAGTTCTTGTTGAATCAACTAGATTTTTCTAAATGAATTTTTAGTTGTTTAATGAGAAGATTGTTAATCTATGCTTATGCTTGTGCTTCTCATTGTTGTGAGGAAAAAAATTGTGTCTAGAGGTCAGATGAACATAGGGAGAGGTTTTTCTTTTTTTTTTTAATAATTGAAGGATATTATAAACTTTTCATTCTTATTTTTATTTGATTAAATATTAAAAACAAACTTTTTGCTAAATATTCTTGATAGCATGCCAAACATACCAAACATATGGATGATAATAAATATTGCATTATATGTTATTGCATTGAATTACCATTTCTAAGGATTTGGTAGTTGAACCAAACTAGTCTTAAATTTCATCAATATGATTCTAAATTGGACAATGACTTATCATTAAACAGCTATTTAAATTTAGTTTCTAATAGACTAAAGCCCATTAATTTTTTTTATATATTTATAAGGCTATGATTAAAATTGTGAATGAAGGTCATACATGCTTTAACTTTGACCTTTCAATAATGTTGTTATAATATCTCATGCACTATAAACACTTTTAATGTGAAACTTGTTTGATATAAATATAGACTCAATAATCTTTTTAAAGTGAAAATGTGTGTGGCCTTTACTCACAATCTTGAAAATAAATTTTAAAATACAACGAATTTTTAAATGAGTCTTGTTGCACGTATTAGAAATTACACTTAAATAGAATTTTTCAATGATAAATCATTTGACCCATTTAAATTTAAATTAACAAATCCATATCCTCTAAAAATTCTCATTTTAATTGATTTTATTATGTCTATTGAGATTTATGAATTGCTTGATCATACTTCTTTTTTTTTTCCTTGTGAATTTATTTTTATTCCTTATTCAAGCTTCTCTATTATATTTTATTTAATTTTTAATTGAAAATAGTCCTAATTACTTTTTTAGTATTTTCTTTTTTGAGAAAAAGACAATAAAATATCTTGAAAATTGTTAAATGACAAATCTTAAATCGACAACACCCTTGGCCAGTTTTCTTCCGCTAGAGCTCCGGCTCCGATGTTGGCAACCCTTCTAGTGGCCAGCCTCTAGAGCTTTAGTAGCATATTGCTGAAACTTCAGTGACTATTCTTTCTTATATATTGATTACTTTTTTTAGCTATTAACTATATTTGTTTCTAAAACTCCAATAACCAACTCTTGTTTGGCTGTTGACTACTCTAATATTGCACTTGACTACTTCTATTTTTGAAAATCTTGTTTAGTTATTAATCAGTTCAGTTTGATTATTGACTACTTTTATTTTAAAAATTCAAAAAGTACATTTAGTATTATTGAAAATCTAATGACTACTTTTATTTAGTTATTTACCACTCTTGTATAGTTAATAGCTATACAAAAGTAGTTTTCAAAACTTCAAAAATAAAAATAGTCAATAGTGAAATTAAAATAGCCAATAGTTATACAAAAGTAACCAATAGCTATATAAAAGTAGTTATTGAAAGTATAAGGACAATGCTATCATTTCACACCATTTTAAAATTACAAAATATTATAAGAGGTTTGATCTAAAATTTTGATATTCACCGACCCTAATTTGTCTGTTAGTATTTTGGAGGATATTTTATTATCTTTTTTTTCTTTTTTTTTAAATAAGTGAATGGGTAAATTAGAATGAGAATGCAAGGAACTTGATTAAAAGATAACAAATTATATGAATTCCACTTTACAGCTTCGACCTATGCCTTCCTAACTTCAAAAGATTAATAGAGTTTTAATTACCAATCCAATCAATTAACTTAAGTAGCTACTCGTCTAATCAAGCATAGATTCATTAAGACATTAACTTGTTAATTATTCCTTTAACTAAAAGAGTCACAACAATATTAATAATTCTCATTAAGCACCATTGGTAGAAATTAAATAACTATGCACAATCAAATTCACCAATCTTATGAACCATGAAATGGACCAAAAACTTAACAGAGAATAACATTATATTAACTCAATATAGCATCAAACAACAAAGTGAAGTGCATGATTATCAAATCTCAACATTCATATCCCAAAATACACTACAACTATAATGTACCCATTCCAGCATTGCAATTCAATTATCCAACTCAGATAAATCAAAATATAAAACTGAAATTGGAGATAAAAATGTACAAAACTCTCTGGCGTAGCTTTCTGGTCTTGGGGAAAAATCAAATTTAGCTACTCATGGTTTAATGGACTGCGCTACCGAGCTCCTCTAATACTTCAATCATCACCACAACAGCAACGGAGAAGATCATCAGAGGTTGAAGAAGGTGCGGACTCGCAACGATCTCCCCTGTTCTGGTCGAATGGATTCTGGTTGTCTTTGGCTGTCGGTGATGATGATTATCAAGACAGAGGAGGCTGAAAGTGGCACGGAGGTGAACAGAGGAGGTCGCGGGTTGAAGATGGTGAGAGATGGGTGAGGTGAAGTCGCAAGATTCTGGGGCTATGAAGGTCGCGCTCTTTTCTGGCAACGGATGGAGTCGGACCCGGTGAAGAGGAGGAGATGATGCGATGAAGACGGTGGTGAAGGGTGGAGGTCGTCGATTACGGAGGATATGGAGCTGGTGGGGTTGAAGCCGAGAGAATTCAAGCTGAGACGACGATCCTTGGACTTGGAAATCGCCTCCTCCTTTCCTTCGAGCCGCAGGAGACTTTTAACTCATAGGCTTTACAAAACGGCGAGTTTCATTTGGCCTTCTTTGTGGTTTTGAGAATTTCTGCTGCTCCTTTTTTGCGATTCTTTAAATTAAAACAAATCGTAATAATATAACATTTTTATTTTTAGCATTTAAGCAACAAATAATAATAATAATAAAGTAAAAAGAAAAAAACCCGCTTTTTCGCCCAATGGGAGGGGTAATTAGAAAGAAGAAAAAGGTGAAGGAAAGAGAATGGTAAGATGGGGGGGGGGGGGGAGTGGAAGAAGGGGCATAGATTGAAAACAAAAAGGGGAGAATTAAATGTGGAGGTGTTGAATATTCTAACCCATTATTTTCCTTCAACTTGCAAGAGGTAGAGACGAAGAGGGAGAGAGAGAGTGAGAGGCTGAGAGGAAACAAAAAAGAGAGAGCCAGAGGTTGAATTTCAAAGTGCATGCTAAGTTTTGAGAGATAATCTAAATACATGAAAATATTTCTCCTAATCAAATTTTTTTTATGAATTTTTTTAATACACTTAGAGTTTTATACTGAAAATATTATCATACTAATTAGAAAAAAG